GGAGTTACCTACACCGAAAATTTTGGGAAGGGGCTTCCCTTTGCCCAGGTCTCTCAACCAAATCAACCAAGGAGTGGCTTTGCACAGCTCATATGCTCAGACAGGTTCCTGAAGCAGCCCAACAAGGAACTGACACCTTAGGGCATGTCTACACTGCACATTAAGGTGGGATTGCGGCACAGGGAGGCACTAGCTTTAATTCAGCGTACGCAGGTAAGAATAGTAGTGACGACAAGGCGGCAAGGTTCCGGTATGGGCTCTGGCTACCTCTGTCCAGCCCACTGGGGATGTACGTGGGTTGTGCTAGCCTGTCCCAGGGTCCATGCCACCACGTCTTCATCGCTAATGGTAGCTGCGCTGGCTAAATTCAAGCTGGCATGGCTGTGCCTACCTGCACTAGTTGCACTGTAATTTGTGGTGTTGACGTACCCCTAGTGCAGGGCGAGCCCAGAGTCCTCCAAACACATGCGTCTTGTAGTGTCCAGAAGGATGACCGTTCACCACAACTGGGGCTAGCCCTGCCCCCCTGGATCCCCAACAATCCCTGAGCGCCGAGGGGTTTTCCTGGGGGAGTGGCTCCCTGCAGCTGTGGTTCTTCTTCAGGGAGAAAAAGCGAGTGAAAGAGTTAACCTCCTCCCTGCCGTCCGCTAAGCAGGGTGTATATGCCCCATCACTGTGCTAGAAGATCCCTTTCCTGGTAACTACAGGCTTCTTCACCCTCCCCACAGAGCAGATCTAATTGTCAAAGTGCTTTCAATGGTGGTAGCAGCCAGAGGGCCCATGTTGTGTTGCCATCAATGGAGCTGAGCTGGAGCACTAGCTGGAGAAGAGGGACAGGCAGGGACTTCAGCTGAGCTGCACCCTTTTACGTCGGGTCTGTATTGAGCTCACACCTTTAATAAAGCACCCTGACGCCTGCTGCAGTTTGGATGGGGGACTGGCCTGCCTGGTGTTAGGATAAATCTTCCCAACCAGGCTATGAAGACAACAGCTTGTTGACTTGAACAAAGACTAGACTTTACCCCCTCATCAAAGTGAACTGGCTGGTGAAGAAAGGGATCACTGCTCAGCGAGGGTAATGGGCTGCTGGAGAGAGTTTTTGCCAAGGTTGGGTAATAAACTGCAGGGAGCAGATCCCTGACACCAGCTGAGACTTGGCTGCCATAAACATATAGAGTTAAAATGACCAGGGTGATCAATTCTCGTGCTTCAGGACATAAATTGATTAACAACTAGGGTCAGGAGGGAATCCATCCATGTTACAGAATATGATTGGCCAGGTGCATCTTTTAATATGCTCTGTATAAACTGGCCCTGCATAGTCCATCATTCAAGTCATATTCAACTGGTGAGCAAAAAAGGCCTAGGCCCTGATCCTCAAATGTATTTAGGTGCCTAACTTCCAATGTCAAGTTAGGCATCTAAATGCCTTTGCGAATCTGGACTTTAGGTCCTGATTCTTCTCTGAATCAGGAGTAACTCCACTCAAGTCGATGGAGTTAGGGCTTTTCTACAGTTAAAATGCTACAGCTGTACTGCTCTCGTGAAGACACTACCTACACCGACGGGATGGTTTCCCGGTCAATGTAGGTGCTCCACCTCCCCGAGAGGCGGTAAGTAGGTTGACGGGAGAATTCACTCATTGACCTAGCACTGTCTACACCAAGGGTTAGATCGGTTTAACTGCGTCACTCAGGGGTGTGCATTTTTCACACCCCTGAGTGACGTAATTATCCCAACCTAATTTCCTAGTGTAGACCTGGCCTCACTCAGGTTTAAAGAACAGTGTAAGGGAAAGAAGACTCCCTTTCTTTTTTCAAGATGAAAAAAATATTTCCCCCCACTCTCCCATAACTCAAAACCAGCTGAAAAGATTTTCTTCAAATTTGCCTTTTAAAAAAAAATCAACTCTGGGCTGACCCTAAGCAAAGTTTCAACTCCAAAGACAACTTTTTTGGAAAGTTCTGATCGAGTGAAAACAGAAGGGGTAACAATAGAAATCCAGATGTTACATTAATGCAGAATCCTGCATTAATGCCCAGATCCTGCAAGTAGACCCACCTGAATAGACCCTTGCACCCATGTACAGCCTGCTGCATGTCCTTGGGAAAGTCTCTCCTCTCTGTGTGTCAGTGTTCCCATCTGTAAAATGGGACTAAAGGATATTGACCTCCATTGTAAAGCACTGGCGGGGGGGGGGACAGAGACAATTGAGATTTACTGATGAAAAGAAGTATATAAAAACTGGGGATTATTTATTTATTGATGACATGGGGCTCCCGACAAGCAGGAGTTAGGCACCTGAGTACATTTAAAAACCCACTTGACGCCTCTCTGCATGTAATGTAGCCTTTCAAAGCCTGAACTGTGTTGCCTCATGGCTGGCATACGGAAGTCAGACTCATGTCTACACTACGAAATTAGGTCGAATTTATAGAAGTCGGTTTTTTAGAAATCGGTTTTATATATTCGAGTGTGTGTGTCCCCACAGAAAATGCTCTAAGTGCATTAAGTGCATTAACTCGGCGGAGCGCTTCCACAGTACCGTGGCAAGCGTCGACTTCCGGAGCGTTGCACTGTGGGTAGCTATCCCACAGTTCCCGCAGTCTCCGCTGCCCATTGGAATTCTGGGTTGAGATCCCAATGCCTGATGGGGCTAAAACATTGTCGCGGGTGGTTCTGGGTACATATCGTCAGCCCCCCGTTCCCTCCCCCCCCGTGAAAGCAAGGGCAGACAATCATTTCGCGCCTTTTTTCCTGAGTTACCTGTGCAGACGCCATACCATGGCAAGCATGGAGCCCGCTCAGGTAACCGTCACCCTATGTCTCCTGGGTGCTGGCAGACGCGGTACGGCATTGCTACACAGTAGCAGCAACCCCTTGCCTTGTGGCAGCAGACGGTACAGTACGACTGGTAGCCGTCATCGTCATGTCTGAGGTGCTCCTGGTCGCCTCTGTGAGGTCGATCAGGAGCGCCTGGGCAGACATGGGCGCAGGGACTAAATTTGGAGTGACTTGAGCAGGTCATTCTCTTTAGTCCTGCAGTCAGTCCTATTGAACCGTCTTATGGTGAGCGGGCAGGCGATACGGACTGCTAGCAGTCGTACTGTACCATCTTCTGCCGAGCAGCCATGAGATGTGGATGGCATGCAGTCCTTCTGCACCGTCTGCTGCCAGCCAAAGATGTAAAAGATAGATGGAGTGGGTCAGAACAAGAAATAGACCAGATTTGTTTTGTACTCATTTGCCTCCTCCCCTGTCTAGATCACACTGCAGTCACTCACAGAGAAGGTGCAGCGAGGTAAATCTAGCCATGTATCAATCAGAGGCCAGGCTAACCTCCTTGTTCCAATAACAACGATAACTTAGGTGCACCATTTCTTATTGGAACCCTCCGTGCAGTCCTGCCTGAAATACTCCTTGATGTACAGGCACACCCTTTGTTGATTTTAGCTCCCTGAAGCCAACCCTGTAAGCCGTGTCGTCAGTCGCCCCTCCCTCCGTCAGACCAACAGCAGACAATCGTTCCGCGCCTTTTTTCTGTGCGGACGCCATACCAAGGCAAGCATGGAGGCCGCTCAGCTCACTTTGGCAATTAGGAGCACATTAACCACCACACGCATTATCCAGCAGTATATGCAGCACCAGAACATGGCAACGCGATACCGGGCGAGGAGGCGACGTCAGCGCAGTCCCGTGAGTGATCAGGACATGGACACAGATTTCTCTGAAAGCATGGGCCCTGACAATGCATGCATCATGGTGCTAATGGGGCAGGTTCATGCTGTGGAACGCCGATTCTGGGCTCGGGAAACAAGCACAGACTGGTGGGACCGCATAGTGTTGCAGGTCTGGGACGATTCCCAGTGGCTGCGAAACTTTCGCATGCGTAGGGGCACTTTCATGGAACTTTGTGACTTGCTTTCCCCTGCCCTGAAGCGCATGAATACCAAGATGAGAGCAGCCCTCACAGTTGAGAAGCGAGTGGCGATAGCCCTGTGGAAGCTTGCAACGCCAGACAGCTACCGGTCAGTTGGGAATCAATTTGGAGTGGGCAAATCTACTGTGGGGGCTGCTGTGATGCAAGTAGCCCACGCAATCAAAGATCTGCTGATATCAAGGGTAGTGACCCTGGGAAATGTGCAGGTCATAGTGGATGGCTTTGCTGCAATGGGATTCCCTAACTGTGGTGGGGCTATAGACGGAACCCATATCCCTATCTTGGCACCGGAGCACCAAGCCGCCGAGTACATAAACCGCAAGGGGTACTTTTCGATAGTGCTGCAAGCTCTGGTGGATCACAAGGGACGTTTCACCAACATCAACGTGGGATGGCCGGGAAAGGTGCATGATGCTCGCATCTTCAGGAACTCTGGTCTGTTTCAAAAGCTGCAGGAAGGGACTTTATTCCCAGACCAGAAAATAACTGTTGGGGATGTTGAAATGCCTATATGTATCCTTGGGGACCCAGCCTACCCCTTAATGCCATGGCTCATGAAGCCGTACACAGGCAGCCTGGACAGTAGTCAGGAGCTGTTCAACTACAGGCTGAGCAAGTGCAGAATGGTGGTAGAATGTGCATTTGGACGTTTAAAGGCGCGCTGGCGCAGTTTACTGACTCGCTTAGACCTCAGCGAAACCAATATTCCCACTGTTATTACTGCTTGCTGTGTGCTCCACAATATCTGTGAGAGTAAGGGGGAGACGTTTATGGCGGGGTGGGAGGTTGAGGCAAATCGCCTAGCTGCTGGTTACGCGCAGCCAGACACCAGGGCGGTTAGAAGAGCACAGGAGGGCGCGGTACGCATCAGAGAAGCTTTGAAAACCAGTTTCATGACTGGCCAGGCTACGGTGTGAAAGTTCTGTTTGTTTCTCCTTGATGAAACCCCCCGCCCCTTGGTTCACTCTACTTCCCTGTAAGCTAACCACCCTCCCCCTCCTCCCTTTAATCATTGCTTGCAGAGGCAATAAAGTCATTGCTGCTTCACAGTCATGCATTCGTTATTCATTCATCACACAAATAGGGAGATGACTACCAAGGTATCCCAGGAGGGGTGGTGGAGGAGGGAAGGAAAATGCCACACAGCACTTTAAGCACAGCACTTTAAAAGTTTACAACTTTAAAATTTATTGAATGACAGCCTTCTTTTTTTTTGGGCAATCCTCTGTGGTGGAGTGGCTGGTTGGCCGGAGGCCCCCCACCGCGTTCTTGGGCGTCTGGGTGTGGAGACTATGGAACTTGGGGAGGAGGGCGGTTGGTTACAGAGGGGCAGCAGTGGCAGTCTGTGCTCCAGCTGCCTTTGCTGCAGCTCAACCATACACTGGAGCATACTGGTTTGGTCCTGCAGCAGCCTCAGCATTGAATCCTGCCTCCTCTCATCACGCTGCCGCCACCTTTGAGCTTCAGCCCTGTCTTCAGCCCGCCACTTACTCTCTTCAGCCCTCCACCTCTCCTCCCGGTCATTTTGTGCTTTCCTGCACTCTGACATTATTTGCCTCCACGCATTCGTCTGTGCTCTGTCAGTGTGGGAGGACAGCATGAGCTCGGAGAACATTTCATCGCGAGTGCGTTTTTTTTTCTTTCTAAGCTTCACTAGCCTCTGGGAAGGAGAAGATCCTGTGATCATTGAAACACATGCAGCTGGTGGAGAAAAAAAAAGGGACAGCGGTATTTAAAAAGACACATTTTATAAAACAGTCGCTACAGTCTTTCAGGGTAAACCTTGCTGTTAACATTACATACATAGCACATGTGCTTTCGTTACAAGGTCGCATTTTGCCTCCTCCCACCGCGTGACTACCCCCTCAACCTTCTCCCCTCCCTGTGGCTAACAGCGGGGAACATTTCTGTTTAGCCACAGGCAAACAGCCCAGCAGGAATGGGCTCCTCTGAGTGTCCCCTGAAGAAAAGCACTCTATTTCAACCAGGTGACCATGAATTATATCTCACTCTCCTGAGGATAACACAGAGAGATAAAGAACGGATTTTGGTTAATGCCAGCAAACATACACTGCAATGCTTTGTTCTACAGTGATTCCCGAGTACATGTTACTGGCCTGGAGTGGTAAAGTGTCCTACCATGAAGGACGAAATAAGGCTGCCCTCCCCAGAAACCTTTTGCAAAGGCTTTAGGACTACATCTAGGAGAACCGCAAATGCCAGGGCAAAGTAATCCTTTCACATGCTAGCTTTTAAACCATGTATAGCATTTTAAAAGGTACACTCACCAGAGGTCCCTTCTCCGCCTGCTGGGTCCAGGAGGCAGCCTTGGGTGGGTTCGGGGGGTACTGGCTCCAGGTCTAGGGTGAGAAACAGTTCCTGGCTGTCGGGAAAACCGGTTTCTCCGCTTGCTTGCTGTGAGCTATCTACAACCTCATCATCATCATCATCTTCTTCGTCCCCAAAACCTACTTCCGTATTGCCTCCATCTCCATTGAAGGAGTCAAACAACACGGCTGGGGTAGTGGTGGCTGAACCCCCTAAAATGGCATGCAGCTCATCATAGAAGCGGCATGTTTGGGGCTCTGACCCAGAGCGGCTGTTCGCCTCTCTGGTTTTCTGGTAGGCTTGCCTCAGCTCCTTCAGTTTCACGCGGCAGTGCTTCGGGTCCCTGTTATGGCCTCTGTCCTTCATGCCCTGGGAGATTTTCAGAAAGGTTTTGGCATTTCGAAAACTGGAACGGAGTTCTGATAGCACGGATTCCTCTCCCCAAACAGCGATCAGATCCCGTACCTCCCGTTCGGTCCATGCTGGAGCTCTTTTGCGATTCTGGGACTCCATCATGGTCACCTGTGCTGATGAGCTCTGCATGGTCACCTGCAGCTTGCCACGCTGGCCAAACAGGAAATGAGATTCAAAAGTTCGCGGTTCTTTTCCTGTCTACCTGGCCAGTGCATCTGAGTTGAGAGTGCTGTCCAGAGCGGTCAGAATGGAGCACTCTGGGATAGCTCCCGGAGGCCAATACCATTGAATTGTGTCCACAGTACCCCAAATTCGAGCCGGCAACATCGATTTAAGCGCTAATCCACTTGTCAGGGGTGGAGTAAGGAAATCGATTTTAAGAGCCCTTTAAGTCGAAATAAAGGGCTTCATTGTGTGGACGGGTGCAGGTTTAAATCGATTTAACGCTGCTAAATTCGACCTAAAGTCCTAGTGTAGACCAGGGCTCAGGAGACCTGGGTTCTATTCCTAACTCTATCACTACCCTGTTGGGTGACTTTTCAAATCACATCCCCACTCTGTGTGTCAGTTTCTCCACCTGTGAAATGGGGACACTGATACTGACCTCCTTTGCAAAGCACTTGAATCTCTTCTGGTAAGAAGGGCTGGCTAAGAACTCGGATGAGGATTGTTATTGACTTTCTATGAGATTTAGGCTCCTACACGCATCTGTGACTTTTGCAAACAGACTTGGGTGCTTTCGAACATTCGGCCTAGAATCTTTCACAGGCACAAACGGGAGTTAGGCACCCAACTCTCATTGCCTAAATGCCATCTGTAGCTGTGCAAATCTCCCTCATTGTCCCTAAAGGCTAAGATTTAAAGAAAAAAGAGCGAGAATAAGTTTAGGCCTTTCAAGCCCCAATCCTTCAAAGAGTTATGGACATGCTTATGCGTATGGTTAACTTTATATATTGTTAAAGTTATATATTAATATATTAAATATATGTTATATTGTTAAAGTTATATATTGTTAAAACCCACTGCAGGACTCCTCACAGTGCATAATGTTAACCATATTCATAAAGACTTTGCAGAAAATCTTGGCCAAGGAGCACTAGTGCCTTTTGTCTAGTTTGCGTGGTTGCCAACGCTTGCAGTTTTATTACCAGGTCTCATGATATTTGGTGACTTTCTTCAAAGCCCCAGCTCCTGGAAGCAAGTGATTCCATGAACATCTCAGGGTGTGTCTACACTGGAAACACTACCGCAGCAGAACGTCCACGCTGCAGCTGTGCTGCAGTGTAGACACACACTACAGCTACAGAAGGGGTTCTTCCACTGAGGTAGTGAATCCACCTCTCCAAAAGGTGGTAGTTAGGTTGATAGAAGAATTCTTCCGTCAACCTAGCAGTGTCTACACCAAGTCTTAGGTTGGCTTTAATTACATTGCACAGGACATTAAATATTTCACAGCCCTGAACCATGCAGTTGAGCCAACCTAACTTTGTATTTTAGACCAGCCCTTAGCTCCCTTTAAAAAAAAAAAAAAAAAAAAAAGTTCCTAGCCCCTGTGGTTGTGAAAAAAGCCTAAAATCATGACCGGAGTAGAAAGGTTAGAAACCAGAAGAGAAATTAAAAGAACCTCAAATATATTATCTTTTGAAATCCCATGATTTTTAAGCCACTCTCGTGATATTTTGACTTATGATTGTTGAACACCTGGGGCTGGCACAACAAAGTTTGAGTCAAATGCGGCCGGAACAAATATGCAAGTTTGAAAACTGCTCACTGTTCTGTAGACAGTTTCTTAAAGGGTGACTTGCAAAGGAAAACAAATTTGAGCTTGTGTCCTTTTACGTCTCTCTGTGATGGGTCAAGGAAGCCTGAAAGGGTTTATTTGTTTTGTAGAGTGGTTTTCTGGTTTCCCAGAGGTTTTTCTATTTTAATTTGCTTGGATGGGTATATGTGACTGGCGGGGAAGGCAGTTTGTTTGTTTTCAAAAACAGGCCAGAAAGAACATTTCAGATGCACTCAAAAGGGATTTCTTAATCTGGCCACATATAATCCAGTTCTGCAGTAAAATTTAGCCTGATCTACACATAAAACACAGCTATAGTGCTCAAAGGAATGAAAAATCCACACTCCTGAGTGCTGTAGCTATGTCAACCTAACCGCCGATCCAAACACAACTAGGTCGATGGAAGAATGGTTCTGTCAACCTAGCGACCGTTGCTCGAGGAGGTGGATTACCTACATCAACAGGAAACCACTTTCTGTCACTGCAGTCTGCATTTACACTACAGGGCTCCAGTGGCCTAGCTATGGCGCTGGTAGCTGTGCCCCTGTCATGCCTGTAGGTATAGACATGGCCTTTCTCCAACCAAACAGGATTAACAAATGTGGGAGTCGCCAAGTCCTACCCTAGTCACAGCAGTGAGGCATGTCCTCCGTTCCCCACCACCGCAATCTCCTTAATGAAATAGATTTACTCCCCACTGCCCCATTCCTCAGAACTGCTTGACTCTTCTTCACTGGGGCTGAGGTGGGTTCCGGCTCATGGAACTGGCTTGGGGACTCGGGCCTTGAGACCTAAATAGAATTAGCAGCAATGGTTTTTCCACACCCCAAACTCCCTAAGACTATTTCCTCCCCCGGAAATAGTCTTTGGTTTCACAGGCATTGTTCCATCCTGTAACAGGGTAGCGCTAGCCTGGGGGGGTCCTTATAAAGTACATTCCATTACAGGCTGTGTATTATTATTGTTATACTATAACCCAGGGTTGTGACTTCAATCCTTGAGGGGGCCATTTAGGGATCTGGGGCAAAAATTGGGGATTGGTCCTGCTTTGAGCAGGGGGTTGGCCTAGATGACCTCCTGAGGTCCCTTCCAACCCTGATATTCTATCATTCTATAACATATCCCCTAACAGTGAGTTGGATCAAACCCCTCTGATCCATGTGCAAAGGAGACGCTCCATGTACAAATATCCCTCTGCCCTGTAGGAGACGGGATATCAGCTACCTCTGTGGCACTTTCCCTTCCCTCCATCCAGACCCTGCAGGACTCACTGCACAAGTCTGGGGTCCACGCCGTGGTAGGAGCCGGAGGACACTGGATGGGTAGGTGTGGTGAAGTGGGTGAGCCTGCATGGAAGTTCCTCATCTTCCCACCAGCAGCCGGGAGTAAGGCAGCTCCAGGACTGTACAAGTCTAGCCAAGTCTGATTCCACGGGCAGGCTGATTCTCTGGTAACATGGCTCCCAAGGAGCCACTCTGCCATGGAGCCGGCTTTGGGAGCACAGCAAGGACACGTAAGGGCTCCTTGAGGACGACCCTGGGACATTTGCCATGTTGGAGGGATTATTCCCCCAGCCTTTTCGATGCGAAGGGGCAAACCGCAACCCAGGTGAAATCTCCCCAAAGGGAGATCTGGCCCCTCATTCTAAACAACGGGCCTGATCCTGCCTCCATAGGTGCTGGAACTAGGGGGGCTGGGGGGGCAGCACCGCCTGGCTTGAAGCGGTTCCCAACATGGCCTGGCCTGGCCTGGCCTCCCGGGGGGGCCCTGTGCTCGGGGGGGGGCCTGGGAAGAGCGCTGAGGGGCAGCGCCCCGGGCCGGGCTTGGCGCGCCCCCCGGCCCTGTCGCTTTAAGCGCCCCGAGGCGGCTGGAACGGGGTCAGAGGCGGGGCGCGAGCGCGCCTTACTGCGCTCGCGCCGGCTGGCGGAGGGAGGGGGAGAAGGGGGCGGAGCGCGATTTGATTGGTCCCCCGGTCCTCCCTCGCACCTCCCCACCTTGATGGTCACGTGACTCGGCGGCGGCTCCCGGCGCGCCGGTGGACGCTGGAAGCCAAGATGGCGGCGGAGCTGGTGGAGGCGAAAGTGAGTGAGCGGCCTCCCCCCCCCTCCCGGTGGGGGGGCTGGGGCCGCGGCGGGGGCACGGGGTTGGGGCGGCGGCGACAGGGCCGCGGGCGGCGGCCCCGTTACCCCCGGGCCACGAGGGCTCCAGGAACCTCCCTGCGGGAGCCGCCCCCAGCTCCTGCCTCCTCCGCCGGCCCCCCGCGGGGAACCGGCCCGGCCTGTTCGCCGCTCCCCCGCCAGGGCCCTCACCCGCTAGCTCCCTGGGGGCCTGGGCCTCGACCAGTCCCGCCTCTGCGGGTCTGAGCCCTCACTGGCCTCCTCGTCCCTCAGCGTAGCGCCGTCCCGTCCCGATCATCTCCCCCCCCCCCACGTCAGCGCCGTCCCGTCCCGATCATCTTCCCCCCCCCCCCACGTCAGCGCCGTCCCAATCCTGGAGACACCCTTCCCTCCCCACCCCACCCCCGCATTGGTGCAGTCCCTTCCCCGCCGTCCTGTCCCTGGACACCCCCAATCTCCTGGTGACAGTGCCGTCCTGCCTTCCCCCACCCCCAATAATCTTCCCTGGAGGCTTCTCCCTAATCCCCCTCCCTGGCATCAGTGCCATCCTGCCATTCTATAGCTGACTCCAGCATCAGCCCCTTCCTGACCCTGGAGACTCCACCCAAGCCCTGTGTCAGCGCCTTCCTGACCCTCACGACCACAGAGAGCCCCCATCCCTCTGGTGTCCCCACCTTCCCCTCCATTCTGGAGATCCCTCCCCAATCCCACCAGCATCAGTGCCTTCCTATTCCCGCCAACTCCAGAGTCCATTTGGCTCAGCCCCTTCTCATCCCCATGCTGATTCCTGAGATTTCCTCAGGTCCTTTTCATCACCCCCACCCATGCTTCCTCTGCTTTCATTCTTTGTGACTGTTACTTAACACGTTCCCCACCTGCTGCTGTCTCAGCCTCTTCTCACCCCAACAGTGAACCTGAAGTTCCCTAGCTTACTCCCCCATTTCAGGGCATCATTTTTTATAACTGTCCTGAAAAAATCATAACAACAGGCATGCTGCTCCCTGCACACCTTGGCTTTCCTCCCCACCTGCTGCTTCATCTTCTCTCACTATTGCCTCCTCCATGGAGTCATTGCCTCAGGTCCCTTCTGCAGTTCTCCCATCCTCACTTCTACTCTTCTCATTTTCCCCTTCCTCTGTGACTCCCTCATGCCACCCCCTTTCCTGTTCCAATCTCAGCTCAGTGGGCTTCAGAGTGAAGAGTTTGCAAGTGCAGTTGGGGGGTGAGTGTGAAGTGATGACATATGGGTTTCCTCCACTGACATTTTAGGAAATAGTTTTGGGGTGAGTGAACTGTCCAGATGTCTCCAGTGGGTCAGATTGTTTGCAAACTTTAAACCCCCACCCCTCCATGAAAGCATAAATGGATTATTTTATTATCTAAATTGAAGGTATGAAGAGGCTTTCAGAGAAGTGAATATGGTGGTGGATAATGAATGGGATCCAGTGCTTTAAAAGTTCTGGAGAAAATATTGATATGTCTATAAATCTGCATAGACTGGAGGATTCTGTGATGTCTGATGTATTTGGAGATTGTCTAGTGATGTGCCGTTTTTTAAAAATATGTTAAGTTGTATTATACTTACAACATACCTTGTGCATAACGAGCCCCTTTGGGGAGAGGAAGACTTGCAGCACAGATTCCAAGCCTCTCTTTTTATTGAGTCCAGTTCTGGTATGTAATACTGCTCTCTGTATGAGTGGGGCTCTTCAGTTCCTGCCTGCCAATGAGTGGAATCACAGGTGTACTGTCTGTGAAGCAGAACTATAATCTCTCAGTGCACACAACAGGGCTTTCATGGTAAAGTTCCCATTCTTGCCAGATGCTGAACACCTCTGAGTGACTTCAGTGATGGTTGAAGATGCTCAGCATCTGGCAGGATTAGGCATTAAGTAATGGAATGACAGGGCAGACCCAGTGAATGCTGATGTAGGGCAGAAGTAAAATGTGGAGAACCCTGTTTTTAAATGTAGGCATAACACTGGCTGACCCTTTCTCCATATGTTAGCCCTTCCTCATTGATTATTGTGGGCAGAAGCCCACCACTCTTCTGAAAGGAAGCATCTTGAAGACTTCTGTGATCTGTTGCCTGGCTGTAGTGAGAATTCATTATCTTCCATGCTCCTTGAACACACAATTTCCTGTCTTTTGTTGCTGCCCAAAGCCTACATCTATATTCATTTTAAAATGAATAATCTCACTAGCTAATGAGAACTGCATATTCATACCACTCACTCAGAGTTAGAGGTGTGAGGTTCTAGACATATATTTCTCTGTGCCAAAATAGCCTGTTTTGCTTTTTATTGTTCAAATCTGATAACATCTCTAGACCTGAAATCTGGGTAAATGTAAACTGCAAAAAGCAATTGAGTTAAGCGCTGGTTTATATGCCCAATACACCAAGAGAACAGGAAATGAGGAACAATGAGTACAGGGCTAACTCCCTTGTCTAGGGTGCTTATGCAGCCTGCTTTGCTGTAGTATCTAGGCACCACATGGTCAGTAATGTATTTATTCTAACAATGCCCATGTGGGGTATGGACAAGTTCTATTACCCCCATTTTACAAATGGATAAGTGATGCACAGAGACTGAATGACTTGCTCAGGGTCACACCAGAAGCATGTGGTGGAGTAGGGAATTGAATCTGGGTCTCCCAAGTCCTAGATTAGATCCCTAACCACTGAACATCTTTCCTTGGTTTGTCAAAGCTCTATCTCTCAACCCCCCTCACTTTCTTTTTCTCACTGAAGAGATTCCAGAACACATCACACTACTAAATGTCTCCTTGCACCCAGATGCATTTGGGATGCATTCTAGGACAGCTTCAGTGAAATAGGAAGTCCAAGGGGATTTCACAGGAAAGGGGAACAATAAAATGTAAGAGGTTAATTCTTCCTGTGGCCTGGCCTACATTTAAAATTTAGGTTGACATAACTGTGGCACTCAGGTGAAAAACCAAAACCCATGAATGCCATACTTATGCCCACCTAACCCCCAGTGTAGACACAGCTAATTCCAGGGAAGAATGCTTCCATCAACCTAGCTACCATCGGTCAGGAATGTCGTGTTCCTGCAGTGATCAAAAACTCCTTCTGTCACTGTAGGCTGTGTCTACATTACAGGGTTATGCCAGCAGAGGTAGAGTGCCATAGCTATGCTTCTATAGCCCCCATAGTGTAGACGTGACCTTTGTTAAATTTCATGGCCCACAAACAGTGTTAATGAACATTTCTGGATTTAAATCAGTTGCCATTTTCCTTTAAAAGTTGGCTTGTCAGTGTTTTCAATGATCAGTAAGAATATTATTTTCAACCTATTTTGGTAAATTAATAATCTGATTTCTGTATGCCTTTTCCATATAATCAGAAAATAAATACGGAAAACACCTAGTGCGTGTCTGATTCCATTGCCTGCAGCTGGACATGTAGGAGTGTTTTCTGGAAAATTTCTCCTATATTTTTCACAAACCGGTGAGCAAGCTGCAAGAATAAATGCAAATGTTCAAACATATTTTCAGGGCTTGAAAAACACTTTCTTCACCCTGAGTGTATGTGAAGCTTTTTTTGGCAATGAGGAAGGCCTTAACAATCCATCTCTGCAGAACAAGTGCATTAATTTTAATTATTATTCTCTCACTCTTATCCTTATGAAGACAATCTTCCCTGTGTAGATCAATTCTGTGTTGTCTTTGAGTCTACAGACAGCTCCAGTTCCCTCTGAGCTTCCCCAGGCAGAAGAAAAGTGAAGTTGACAAGACTGGTCAGTTTCAGTGTTGTTCAAAACCTTAGGATCAGCCTTGAAATAGGTAGTTTCATGGTGCTCCCTCAGAGCAGTAAAAGAAGCAGGCACTGGTCCTATTCACAGGAGAGCTGATTGAAGGAAGTGAGGTGTGAGCTGAAGTAGTTGTTAACCCCCAATACGCTTGCTTTTCCAACAACCTGATGCAAGATATTTAGTGTCCTTGTGATTGCCATTGTTTCCAGCTGTTACCATGAGATTACTTAGTATTTATCACAGATTTTTTTGTAGTAATTCAGTGACTAGCTTGTGTCACTGCTTTCCGATCTGTGTATACTGGCTGATGTTCAGTAGGTCTACTGTGTATTCCCATTGCACAAACAGGTGTCTAATACGTGGCACGTTAAATCAGTTGAAAAGCAGGTGATCTAAACAGAAGCGTTGGTGTCACTCTTGCAAGTGAATTTTAATCTTTTGAGTTCCAGGGTACAGGCTTTGGAGAGAATTGTCACTTGATCTATTTATAGCTTTAAGAATCTTTTATTTTAATTTTTTACCTTTATTTCCTAGAACATGGTGATGAGTTTCAGAGTCTCAGATCTTCAGATGTTACTGGGTTTTGTTGGCCGGAGTAAGAGTGGACTTAAACACGAGCTGGTCACTAGAGCATTGCAGCTGGTCCAGTTTGATTGTAGCCCTGAAGTTTTCAAGAAAATTAAAGAGCTCTATGAGACTCGCTATGCTAAGAAGAGCTCTGAACCGGGGCAGACACAGCAGCACCGACCTCCAGAGGCACTCTCCATACATTCTTCCTATGACCGTGGGAGCACTGTTGCTAGGACTTCTCTTTCCACGCCTAACATTGACTATCCTGCACTCTATGGGAAATACCTTAACGGACTGGGGAGGTTGCCACCCAAAGTTGTAAAGCCTGAAGTGCGGCTGGTGAAACTTCCCTTCTATACCACCTTGGATGAACTGCTGAAGCCAACTGAGCTAGGTGAGTCTCTCTCATATACGCAGATACATTAGTAATGCCCAGGACTCCATCTGGGAAGGGACGGTGAAAAAGCATACAAGTTTTGAAATGATGGTAGCATTTCTGGTGAGCAGTGAGGCCACATAGTCGAGAGAAAAAGAAAACCAGTGGGTTCTCTTCTAGTTGGTGTGTATTTATTCAGAATATTCCTAGATTAATTTTTGTTGTTTTTTTTTAAACCTTTCTTAAAGCAGGAGCTGCAGTCACTTTGATAAGTGACTTGAAAGTCTGTCTTGTTTTGCTGTAGCTTTTGTATCCTTCGCTGAAGGTGCTACCTTTTTAACATATTGCATCCTTGTGTACTGAATCATAATCTGTCCTTGCTCTAGCTAACGTAGCAGTATATTAGGAGAGCAGCTGTTTTCTCCGTCATTGTCACAACTCTGCTAAACTGGAACAGTGGCCCTTTCTATGCTGATACCAGTTCTGTACTTAATCATGACAGACTTAAAGCTTCCCACAAATAAAGAAAGGGGACTTACTATTTTAATACGCACACACCCCTCTTTTTACTTTTATAAACCTGTCATGCAGTTCTTTATGCACCATACCTTGTGTTTTGAGGAGCAGCTAGAGGAGCTTGGAAGGTGAAAGAAGCAGCTCCTTCCACCTTGAAGCCATGATAACCAGAGTCTGGGTTAGCGTGGTTATGGTTCTAGGTAGTGACGAGCATTGCCATAACTGGCTGTAATGTGTTTTTTTGTGAATGGCGTAGGCAAAATGTGCCTTTTTGCTATGGCTGTGGCTCCCTTTGCTTTGTGACCCATCACACTACACCCATCTTCAATGGCCTGTAGAGTAAACATGGTAACCTCAGGCCTTGTTACAAAACGGACCTTGTTCTGAGCAAAATAAAGACTGAACTTGAGGATCTCCCATTGCTGGAAAGGCTTGATCCTAATGTGCACAGAGATGAAAGAAGTGTTGATAAATGAAGGTAGTGCATCTTACCAAGATGCAGCTCGATGAACTGCTGCAGTGTCTGAACATGGACTGGACATTTGAAGGCATGTGGGAAGCAGCCATTGCTGAATACCCTCACTAGGCAGAAGTGTGGATTTGTTTCTCTAATGTGGACATAAAAGGCGTTTTCTTTAACCATGTTACATGGCTCTGAGAAACCTGCCAGAACACAAATCAGATAATACTTAAACTGCTCTCTTTAATTTGAGAGAACATAAATTTTAGGAACAGGAAACAGCCATCTGGCCCTGTGTGCCTGCACTTTCATAATTTCTTAATCCCATCTTCCTGCTGTTTTCATCATAACCCTTCACTCCCTTCCGCCTTCACAAACTAGGCTGGGTATCCCTTGAGGTTATTTATATCCTCTGTTTCAGTTGCCTTCCTTGTTAACTTATTCCATATGTTTGTTACTACTTGTGGAGTTTCCCTGTTTACTCTTATTTTCCATATTTCTTAGCTTCTGGACTACTTACCAGTATAAAAAGAAAACTGTATTGACTATATTATACAGGCTTCAGATGTATGTGATTTGTCTGCATAAGAAGGCAGTACAGACGTTAAGGCTGTGATGACTTAAACAGAGTTTTAGAAATTGGTTAATTCAGTCTTGAACACTTCGTGTGCCAGTCCACTGGAAACACAAATGCAATGTAATCTAATATTTTGAAGGGGGAGGAAAAAAGTTAATTTTTTTTCAGCTACAACCCCATCTCCTATTTATAGCTCCAAGAAAAAGGAGCGGAAGCATCTAGAGATGATAAATATATTTAGCCTGATTGCCAGAGGGTACTGAAGTTTGACAATACATAAAAGTTCTATGTCAGATCAGGTCTTTAGTTTGGCTAGATTGGCATCCTACTCCATGTGAAAGCTAGCACCTCCTAGAAGTCCTCTTGTTCCCTGTGCGTGTTTGACAAATGTTCTCTTTTGATAGGTGTAACTTGTGCTTTATCTGTGGGACTTGGTGTAGGGCAGCTAGGTATGGAACAGGTGCTCTTTTAAATCCTGATTTATCTGCTTTATCACTCCGAATCCACACTAAAATATAGATTATTTACATTTCTACTTCACCTTACCGACTCTGGAGGTCCGGCATTGGTGGTGGCAGGGAGTACAATTGCTGAGTATCATTAATGGGGAGCAAGCCCAGTGTATGATCCCAGTGTTTAGGCTTCAGCATGGCGGAATGTCTGCAATGTACTCTTTCATTTTGGTAACTGGAAATGAGACTAGTAGGCATCTCTACTGAGATCTGGTTCTGGACTCTTGCTCTCCTAGCATTAACATTAGCAGAGGTGATAGATATCTGAGTGGCTAACTTTTGTACTTGGCTCAGTAAGATTCCAGTTATCCTAACCCAAGAACAATGCTCATGAGTGTGCTAGTGAACTATACTCACAAATACACGCTAATTGTTTGTGTTTTGAAAACTGGCATGTTGACAATTTAACTCCAAGAGTATTAAGTTAAGAATACCAATGCAAAGTTAAATGTCTATGGAGTTCTACTTGATGAGACCGAAAAAAGAATAAAGAAGAACAAAGGCTTATCAGTTACTTTGGTTTACTATCTCTTCTGAACTTTGCACTGCTTTAACAAAAGGTGTAACTTCTGTGTGTAGACTAATCCCGAGAGCTATTCTGTAGAAAATTCAGATGCTACTGGTGGTATCCCATAGAAATACCTGAAACAGATCTGAGATCAAAGACCTATTTCACATGCACATCATAATGTGGCCTGGGTAAATGTCCTGCTACAGAAGACATTTTAAGCATATGTACTGTGATGAGGGAAACCAGGGAACTGTAACTTGTGTATTAAAGAAGGATCTTTGTTAATCAAAAGCTAATATGTGCTGAGAAACAACAGAGGATTTCTTGCCTCCTTTAAATTATCACATTGAGATCAAAAGGTGGGCTATATTTAACTAGATTTCTACCATATGTATGCAGTGGTGTTGTAGGTGTGTGGGTCCCAGGGGATATTAGAGAGACAAGGTGCGTGAGTTAGTATCTTTTATTGGGCCAACTTCTGTTGGTTAGAGAGACCAAGCTTTTGAGCTGACACAGAGCTCTTTTGACCTGAAGAAGAGCTCTGTGTAAGCTCGTCTCTCACTAACAGAAGTTAAAAGATATTACATCACCCACCTTGTGTCTCTAGGCAGACATGCTTTTCTCTGCAGAAGAGTGTCAGATTACCATGCTTGCAGACAAAGATACAGCTTCAGGTGTTAGGGCGAGGAGACTTGAAGTGTTTTGTGAACCTGGTAACATTCCATATTTGGTAACTACATAAACACACGTTATACCAATTCAGTTTAGTAATGGATTTAATTAAATGATCACAACTTCCTTGTGTGGACACTTCTAAATTGGTTTTAAGATTGTCCACGCAGGGTAGTTGTGCTGGTTTAGTTGAATCGGTACAGCTTGTGTGTGTAGACAAGGCTTAAAACTTAGTATTTGCTGACAGGATGTTTTTGTAGACTTTCCTAGCTGTACTGTGGCTGTCAGTAAATGCCTTGGTTTTTATCAAAGATGAACATGGTTTGGTAATAGCGAAATGTGGTGTGATAGGGAATTTTGGCTGGTTCTCCTGAGGGGAGAGATGCTTGCTTATTGTGGATGCAGAGTGCTGTGGTCTTCACTTGGAGGCAGTGCCTGAGGGGGATCTGCTGGTATCATTGTGGGAACAGAGGGCTACATAATCTGCGTGTTCCAGCCACTGTCAGAGTAAACTGTATCTCAGTTTGCTTGATACCTTTTGATGGTATCTACTTGGCAATTTGTATACTGCTTTTTATCTAGCTATGAGTAATACAATTGCCAGAATATTTCCTCCCCTGTTGAAGATCATGCTCAGTTCCTGTGTATATTCAGTCTGCCTTGGGGGATGTCTACACTGCAATTAAAAACTTGTGGCTCAGGCTGGCATGGCTCAGTCTAATGGGCTGTTTTATTGCAGTATAGATCATAGAACATCGGGGTTGGAAGGGACCTCAGGAGGTATCTAGTCCAGCCCCCTGCTCAAAGCAGGACCAACCCCAACTAAATCAGCCTGGCCAGGGCTTTGTCAAGCCTGACCTTAAAAACTCCTAAGGAAGGAGATTCCACCACCTCCCTAGGGAACCCATGTTCAAGATCAGGCTGGAGCCTGGCCTCTATCACCCTGAGCTCTGACTCCAGGCCGGGCCTGAACCTATACACCGAAATTAAATGAACCCCTTAGCCAGAGCTCTGCGAGCCCGAGTCAGCTGGCACAGGCCAGCCACTGGTGTCTAACTGCAGTGTAGACATACCTGTGATGGCTGAGGCAACTGCATTCTCTTGATTGCAAAACACACATCCCCGCATTGGACATCCGCTGAGAAATCCTCCCAAGAGCATATTTTCAAGCTGTTGCTTCATTTCTCTCTCTGGGCTAGTTCTCAGAGGTGAACAAATTGGAGGATTTATTGGTTCACTTTGAGTTTGAATAAAAAGTGCCCATCGATATTCCCTGAGAACCCTGCCAGTTACTGTATTTAAAATTATAAAAACAAAATGCAATGGGCTCTCACCCAAGTCCCAGTATGAACTCCACTACCATCCCCTTACATTAGTCAATATGTATTTTCAAAGGTCAGGGAAATGAATGGGCACTGTACCATACTGTGAAAGTCATCAAATCTGGGCTACTTTGGATTGTGGGGTGGAAGGACACTTCAGAGCTCTGGAGCTCTTACAGAGACTCCCATGCCAGCAGCCCCTTCTCTCATATATCAAGTGGAGAATCTAGCATTGCCTCCACTGACCACAACTATGGGAGTATGTTGCAGAAAGAGAGGTGGTAAGTTAGGTAGTAGGCTCCCAGGCTATTAAATATGATGCACTGATACAACATACAGCTTGGTGTAGGGGAACCCTAAAACTAACGATCATTCTGACATCAAAGAGCTTTAAGTGATCATGCTCAGCTGTTCTCAAACTGGCTTGTGGGTTGGCTTCTCAGAATAAGAATCCATTATAATTATATTGGACTAAAATCCTAAAGGGCTATGCCAAGTACTTGTAAGTGTTAGAGGTTCTATGTCTTGTCATAAAGTCTGAGATTTGCTGATCTAGCTCAAACTTCATAATTAATTGACTTCTTTATATCTTGCTATCCTGGGGTTTTAACAGAAATTCATCCCAGCAAGTCACAAAAGCCACACAGTTCTGAAAAGCTGTAACTCATGTACCGGGGATAGCTCACTTTCAGAAAAGGTTTTTGGCTGAAACTTGCTTTTGATTAAAAGTGCCCAACTCTTAAGTGTTAATATGATAGAGGTATATAAAATCATGAGTGGTGTGGAGAAAGTGAATAAGGAAAAGTTATTTACTTGTTCCCATAATATAAGAACTAGGGGCCACCAAATTAAATGGGCAGCAGGTTTAAAACAAATAAAAGGAAGTTCTTCACACAGCATACACTCAACCTGTGGAATTCCTTGCCTGAGGAGGTTGTGAAGGCTAGGACAATAACAGGATTTAAAAGAGAACTGGACAGTTTCATGAGGTTAAGTCCATTAATGGATATTAGCCAGGATGGGTAAGGCATGGTGCCCCTAGCCTCTGTTGTCAGAGGATGGAGATGGATGGCAGGAGAGAGATCACTTGATCATTACCTGTTAGGTTCACTCCCTCTGGGGCACCTGGCATTGGCCACTATACTGGGCTGGATGGACCTTTGGTCTGACCCAGTATGGCCATTCTTATGTTCTAAGTATTGAATAGTTTTACATGACTTTTTTTTTTTTTTTGCTGTTGGCCAAGGATAATTCATGTATGAGTTACTTAATGCTTATCGTAAGATTTTGAAAGGGACTAGTGTCTCATGCTTCAGATCATAAAGCAACCTCTAGTTGAGATCAGGTAAAATTCTCCCTTGGGACAGATTATCCCATAACAACTTACTGAACCGTTTTCCCCCACTCTCTTCTTCCCCCTGCCCTCGCGCCCCCCCCCCCGGACACACACACACACCTTATCATAGAATCATAGAATCATAGAATATAAGGGTTGGAAGGGACCAGAAGGTCATCTAGTCCAACCCCCTGCTCAAAGCAGGACCAATTCCCAGTTAAATCATCCCAGCCAGGGCTTTGTCAACCTGACCAAAAACCTCTAAGGAAGGAGATTCTACCACCTCCCTAGGTAACGCATTCCAGTGTTTCACTACCCTCTTAGTGAAAAAGTTTTTCCTAATATCCAATCTAAACCTCCCCCACTGTAACTTGAGACCATTACTCCTCGTTCTGTCATCTCCTACCATTGAGAACAGTCTAGAGCCATCCTCTTTGGAACCCCCTTTCAGGTAGTTGAAAACAGCTATCAAATCCCCCCTCATTCTTCTCTTCTGAAGGCTAAACAATCCCAGCTCCCTCAGCCTTTCCTCATAACTCATATGTTCCAGACCCCTAATCATTTTTGTTGCCCTTCGCTGGACTCTCTCCAATTTATCCACATCATCAAGATACCTTCCTCTGAAGTATCTGGTACTGGCCTCTGTTGATGGAATACTGGAGTAGATGGACCACAGGGCTGACCCAGTTTACGTTTTTTTTCTAGCTTCTTTTGGATCAGGAGTATCTAAGAGTTCTTCACTCACATCAGCCTCTAGCAGCCTCCTCTGGCTCACCCAGTAGAGGTATTGACTGGCTATGGGTGAGGGGAGCCGAACTCTCTGCCAGGAAAGATGAGTTGCCCTGCTCCTTCATGGGGAGAAATAAAGAAAGATCAAAGGGACCCATGTGGCTCAGGTCTCTTAATTCTGTTTCCTTTTCTCTTTCAAGGATCGCCCACTACCTGCAGAAGGAAAGGGAGAGTTTTGCTTTGGCAGATATTGCTTTTCCTATGGAGTCGTATTGACCAGGGCTGCTGTTGCTTCAGTCTCTGTTTTGTGGTCTGAGGAAAGCACTGCTATGCTGCCTCACAGTCATACTTGTTTTGTTCCCCAGCCTCTGGCAGGACTTGTAGCCCAATTACATATGAGTGACAAGGGAAAGAGGTAATCTTGGAGTGACACCTCACCCGTGGTGTCTGCCTGCTGCCATCTGCCATGTTGTAGAGATAGGCCTTTTATGTATTTTGAGGTAGGTGGTATGCTAGATATCTTGCTGCTGGGCAATACTTTGATGAAGAGAGATGATCGTAACCTCAGATGAAAACTGAATCCTACAGTGATGATGGGATAAGTGGGGAGACTGCTCGGGTCATGGCTTCGCTGCTGATGCTGAGGTTTGTACTCTCAATCAGGGTACAGGCATTCCTTTTGGAAAAGGTGGCTGCTTTGAAAAAGAAGAGGGATTCTTGCAGGGTGGATTGATTTAAAAAAATAAATCAAAGTAATTTAAATCACCAAGCAGGAAACCTTGATGTGACTCATTGATTTTAATTGTTTTTTATTTGTACTTTTTAGTTAATTTCTGAAGAGGTTGATTCTCACTGTTGTAATTTGGAAACTATTTTTGCTAACCAGAAGGATACCCTGTACACACTTAAGCAATTGTATGAACTTCATATACATTTATTCAGATTTGTAATTTTGACTTTTTATTACATTAGAAAATGGTGAATGAAATATTTATTTACTAGATTCATTTTTACTGGTAATTTGTGTCCAGCTACATTTGCATGGAAATTGGAATTCAACTGCAAATGCACAAGGCAGCTTTTAAAAATTGTTTTGTTTAGTTATTTGCATTTAAAACTAATTTATTAAAGGAAGTATTATTTGCAGTTGGTGAATTGGTCTCTGGTCACCATGTCATTCAAGATTTTAGAACTAGTAGATCTAGTCCTCACACCTAGTTTTTATTCATAGATCAAAAGAGATAAACAAGCTTTCCTGCTTTTCCAACTCCCAATCTGTTTTTCAAATTTGAGTGATCTAGTCTTTGAACTGATCTAGTCTAATAAACTGAAGTGAAGAAAATATTCTGTCTGTACCTGCAGAAGAGGCTACTGCTGCTTAGCACTTTAGGTAACGAGTGCTTAGCCAATGAGATTTGCTGCCTCTAAACTGGTCAGCAACAGGGGATAGGAGGAATATCCCCTCCCTCTTCATCACCTCCATGATGTGGTGTGCAATATACAGGAGGTCAGCCTAGGTGATCTGGTGGTCCCTTCTGGCCTTAAACTCTGACTTCCACCAGAGCCATGGTTTGGCTTTCTTTAAAAATGTCGTCTGCAAACATGTACTGCTTGAATGTTGTTCAGTGTGAAATATTTTAATACCTTAGAGTAAGGTTAGGCCTTAACATAGCTGTCATAATTTCTATTTTAATTTTAAATAAGCTTCTTTTAAAAAAGAAAAACGTATGTCATTTGGATTTTTTTTATTAAAATTAAACTGACTTTTTTAATCCAGTTTTTGTCTGCTCTGGGTTGTGGCTAACAGTATCTCCTTAGCAGTCTACAGATCATTACATTACCATACCTAAAACTGCACCATTAACTTACTGTATTTGTTGACACCTCTTTTCTCTGCCCTTTGGGGCCAGCGTTCTGATGCTATCTTATCACCTGATGTTGATGTTAGATTGCTTTTTTCCCTTTCCTCAGCCAGTCTAATGGTCCTGTCTATAAATACTTTCATGTTATGCGTTGACACATGCTTACATTTCTCCCTCTGAATTCTAGTCTTCATGCTGTGATTCCACTCATAATGTGCTCTTATTTTAAAGTATGCACCTGTTGCCTGATTGGGAAATTGAGGGAACACATTAAAAAATGGGTGGGACAGATTCCACTGCGTGTTAGTTGCATGGGTAACAAAACAGGCAGGCAAGGAGTGAGCAGTGCATTTTGATCAATGGTGCAAAGACATTTGTCTCACTAATCTCTCCCTTCATTATCCTACCATGAGAAGGTTCCCTTTTTGGACTATCCATGCATATCTTTGGCTTTATAGCAGCATCCTCTAAGCCCAGCAGATGACTTCTTCTCCAATGCCAATTTAAAGAAACAAATATCTCTCTAAACAAACTGTGGGTGTATTGATAAACAGGAAGTGAAATGAGGGATCGAACACTACTCATTTCAGTAGCACTTGGATGTACATTGGAGTATAAAGTCTCCTCTTTTTTTCTTCTCCTTCTCTTCAGTCCCACAGAATAACGAGAAGCTTCAGGAGAGTCCATGCATTTTTGCACTGACGCCAAGACAAGTGGAGCTGATCAGAAATTCCAGGTACTCTGTGCTGTGTATTTTTAAAACCCTGTTAAATGCATAACTTTCCTGACAGTCTTCCCTCCATTTTGGGTCTCTGTTCTCTGTCTGATAACACTGCTCACTTGAGAACACCAGCAGACAGGCTTTTCCCCAACATGAGGCCCATAACTATTTTTGGCACCGTCCAATCTGTCTTGGTCTCTGTAGGGTTTCCTTCTGGATAGTGCAATAAATCCCAGTTAGAATAGTAAGTTTAGGCAGGACAAACAGCATGCAATTATTGAGGTCTTGAAACTTCTCTTTTAAGCCTGCAGTGTGAATTGGTTTGCAGAATCTTTTTTGAATCACAGGTTAAAAGCTCTACACTTAATGCCATTACATGAGGATTCTTATAATAGCTACCTGAGCAATTATCTTGCACTCTGCCACCAGAACTTCCCATGACAACTATGTTCCTCTTCAGTGGCAAAATTTTCAACCCCAGGAGCAAGATACACCAGTGCGGGAGATAAAGCTTACTCTGCAGCTGGCCTGTGACTCTGTTGCCATGAGAGATCAGAATGATGATAAACCTTTTGGGCTTCTGAGTGAAATGTAAAAACTCTGATACAACTCTCCCACAGTAAACAACCGAATAATAATGTGTCAGATCGGGGCGAGCTTCCTTCTTGAATATGTATTTTTAAATTAAGTACCCAAATAATATGGTGATCTACGTAGATGAAAGTAGTGCCAGGAAATGCCATTCAAAGACCAGCAGAGAGGAAACAATATACCAAGACTTGGGCAGACCTTTCGGGATGATCTAACAAAAGACTGCTTACTCTGTATCGTGACTGTGGCGAAAGGAAAAGCCAGGACTGTTTGGATCTGTGAGGGGATTCTCATCACCTGTAGTCTGATTAGAATGTAGCATGCACTCCCTGTAGAGGTTCTAGTGAGTGCCTGACATCACACGCAGTGCTCATTCGGGGTAGGTCCTGCCTTCTCTGACACCAGCAAGAAGTATCTCAATATGGTCCCTGCTGATGGACTCTTTAAAGCTGTCAGAGTAACTCCTTTTCCTGTAAGGTACGGGCTGAACTCAACCTCCTGAAAACTTTAAACAATTTAAAAGTAGGACTGGATTGTGAAACACGCTCACTGTCAAATCCAGGCAAAATTCTGAATTCAGTCTGGGTATAAGTTAGAGTACATCTTGTGCCTCTGTCTAAAACATTCTAGTAAGAACCCCGTATTCTGCTGTGCAGCTTTTCTGAAACTAGTTAATATACAGTTTGATAAAGCGAATAGTGTCAACAGGAATATTCTGTTGGTACCCTAATGCTCAGATTCCTTGATTTGAAGGAGCAGTTTTAGTTTACTAATTGAATGAAGAGGATGTTGTAGGGACGTTGTCAGCCTAAGCATAGTGGGGGGCAGAGGGTGGGAACGTTTTACAAAATCTCATCTGTCTGGAAATGTTTCCATGGTCACTTCATATTTTGATGAAGACAGATATTTGTCGTTAAACATTTCTCTGCAATTTTGGAAACCCAGACACCACAGCCTTGGTCTAGTGCAGGAGAGCTGGAAAATGAAACTAACCAGACTGTTCCTATTTTCCAGAACAAGTGAAATCTTAAAAGTAAACGGCACAAACCTGACAAGTAATTAAAAAAAAAAAAATCAGTTCTAATAGCTTTAGGTTATTTTGTTGATTGGATAAAGAAGAAAACGAGGTTTTGTTAAATGAAAGTCTGTTTGTTTTGTTTTACCAGGGAGTTACAAGCCGGTGTGAAATCTGTTCAGGTTGTGCTAAGGTACGTCTGAATAGCATGAAATTAATTAAACCCATGAGGCAGAAAACTAGGGGAGGGAGATCACTAGCACAACATGGTAACCATTTCAATGCTCTGTGTTCAGTAGCTAAAATAACTGATCACTTTAAGCAAGTCCCTTGTTTGCAAGGATAGCACATGCGTCTACAACATAACTTTCTACTGCTTTGACCCTCTTGGTTCTCTGCAGATGATGTGAGTTATTGCTTTAATAGAAAACGCTAATTACATCAAATTCGGCTTCACAGCATAATGCTAAGTCTATATCATGTCCTCCAGTAGAGATTCCTGGGTTTAATGGGCTTGGTTTGACCCGATGACAAGCCTAGTTTAGTTTGGCTGGTACTCATAGCTGGCTGCTGTTGAAGTCAATAGTATATACTAGGTTAGAGATCTTTTAAATCGCATATGGGATGTAGACATTTAAAGGTCACCATTTCTTTCCAGAATCTGCTACACGGACACTAGTTCCCCACAGGAGGATCAGTACCCTCCAAACATCGCAGTAAAAGTGAATCATAGTTACTGCTCGGTGCCGGTAAGTCAACCCAGCCACGAAGTGTCACTTGACAGCACAGGGAGAATGTGTGCAATTTAAATGGTTCTGTTTTTTTCTGGAAATTGTTATCTGGCGAATACAGAAGGGGAGCTGCAGTGCTAGAAGTAGATTGTTTTGGCTTTGAAGCTCATTGTGTAATGGATTTGTTTTGTAGAGTTCATTAACAGTATTCTTGCGAAACTGCCATGAAAGTACAGTGTCAACTTCCCTGCTCTTTACTATGACTTGATGATCTTATCCAAAAAAGTTACTCTGTGCATGAGTAGAATTTTGCAAGGCTGATGTTCTTGTAGTTGAAAAGGAAAAAATCCACAGCAGCGTGTCTGGTAAAATAAAGACATAAATGTCTGTCTTTGCTATAGGGCTACTATCCATCCAACAAGCCTGGAGTGGAGCCTAAAAGGCCCTGTCGTCCCATTAACCTCACGCATCTCATGTACCTGTCTGCAGCGACCAATCGTATCACGGTTACATGGGGGAATTATGGAAAGGTAAATGACTGTGTGACTTGGGAACTAAACAAGCATGTATGTGGAGTGTGCCTTTTCTCCTCATCCTGTCCCTTTCCTTTCTCTTCAGAGTTATTCAGTGGGCCTATACTTAGTGCGGCAGATGACCTCAGCAGAATTGCTGCAGAGGTTGAAAACCATTGGAATCAAACATCCAGAGCTCTGCAAGGCACTCGGTAAGTCCATGTCATTGGTAAAGTTCATGCAGCCTTCATCAGATTGGAAAGGCTGAGAAGTAAGGCTACTAGAAATTTGTGCAGAAACAATTGTCAAATTCTATAGAATCGTCCTCTGCAATTCTATAAAAAACATTTGTCAAATTTGAGTGACTTTGCTAAGTTGTGTATTAGGCACATTATCAAATTGCCCCAGATCTGTGCAGAGGTTTTTGCAGCACTTTTTCTTGTGGCTATACAGATAAATCATGACGACATTCAGTTGGATTTAGAATTCATTCCCAGATCATATTATGGTGAGTGCTGCTGAGGGTCAATGTCATTCTGATGAGAGGCTTCCTGCCTTTGGCTGAATAATTATGAATGTTGCCAGAGCACCTGCAGGATCTCCAGAGGAAATCTCTGGAGCAAAGAACTCTTCTGTGGAGATGCCCTGCTGCCAATTCCCCTGTGTTCAGTTCTTAGGGCTGAGAGCTGGAGTTCACAGCACCTCTTTCAAATCTGATGATAGACCTTTAGAAAAGAGATGATCCTTGGTCGAACCCATTCAGATAGATCATGGTATTGGGTAAATGCAGAACCTTATTGGAAATCTAGGGAAATTACCTTTCAAAGGCAAGGCCAGACCATCAGTTCCTAATAGTCCAAGGAATTTACCTCGTCTTTCAGTGATTCCAAATTATATTATGACATAATGGCCGCAGCACTTAATTCTGTATAAGAGGACAATAAAAAAGATCATGCTATGGTATTCTACACTAACCACAGACTGCACTTATCGGGCTTAGGGGGCACAATTTGAAAAAAGGGTCTATTTAATGTCTAGGAGAAAACGCATGGTTCAGATGTATCAGGTCCTTGTAGCCTGGTCACTAGCTACAAATGACTGATTATATTGAAAAGAGAGAAGTCAACATGCCTTTAGGAGGCGCAGTGTGGCCTAGTTGGTAGAACACTGAATTTGGAATCGAGAGACCTGGGTTCTAGTCCCAGTTCTGTCACTGGCCTGCTGGGTGACCTTGGGCATGTCACTTCCTGCTCCATGCCTCGGTTTCCTCATTGATAAAATGAGCTAAAGATACTAACTTCCTTTAAGTGCTTTGAGATCTACCGATGAAAAGTGCTAGATAAGACTTATTACATTGCAACAGTTCAGCCAAACTCCAGCATCCATTTGTACAACTATCTTTGGGGTTCCCTGTGGTCCCAATATACCTTTGTACCTTGCCCCTCGCTCCCATCCCTGCCCAGGTGTGGTGCAGATGGCCATGCTGATCTCTTCCAGCTCAACATTCTGGCAGTGGCTTTGGCGCAATTGTGCCTAAATAACAAGCAGTCCCATGTGATTGATGGACATCAGCAGAACTGTTGCATGTTTGCTTAGGGCAGTCTGAGCATAAGGGGAAGGAAAGTGGCAACCAGTTAAGTGTTTGGCAGTCACTAGTTGTTGTGAGGCTTCTGTATCTAGCATATCTGAAGCAGCGGTTGTGGACTGCACTCCCATTTCCCCTAGCTGTTAGTGCTATAAATAAAACCAGATCCCATCATTCCTCTTTGAGCCCAGCACTTTCCTTTTCCTTGAAACAGGACCGTGGGTAATCAGAGTAGAATGGCTCTTCTTTTCAAAACTAGTGCTTACAATATATCCCCTCAAAGTCTGGAACCATCGTGCAAATATTCTACAAACAGGATTTCCTGCCTTCACTGTTCGCAAGCTTGATTTTTGTCATCACCTCAAAATCCAGTGAGATAGTTTAATAAAAACCTTGGCTTCATTTGGCTGGCAGAGGTGGATTACTTTTGTTAAATTCTTAACCCTGGAGTCATCTTTCTTTTGTTTAGTTTCTCTGGTCACGTTATGAGCTAATGAGAAATACCATCACTTTGGGTTTACACAAACTCATTTTTTGTGGGCATCTGAATCTGCCACATCCAAGTATCTTGTAAACCCTGCTACGATAGCTCACCAGTGCATTCAACAGATAGTTTTGGATTCTGATCACCTCTATATTTCATTAACCACTAACACTGCCCTTAACTCCACTTGTTTCCCAGAGCTGATTTATCGTCCTCTGCATATGTTTCTGTTGAGTGCTATAAGTGCACTTTCTGAAATCAGGTACTTAGATGCCTAACTGTGAAAGCCAAAGTTTCATCACCCATTTAAAAAAAAATCCATGATGCTAGTTAATAGCTCCTAGGATATAGTTGTTCTCATTTTCCATGTTCGGCTGGACTGGATGGAAAATGAATTTAACTGTTTGCAGAATTTAGTGCTTGGTTTTCTCATAAAACAACACTATACAACCCCACAAGCCATTATGTTTTAGTTGTAAAGCAACGTCTTGGCATAGAGCTGTTTCTGTTTCAAAATTGCATAAAGATTCTATATAGAGCTGTTTTATTATGGTCTCAAACAGCCAAGGTAATGCACCCTTCCCCAAAGAGAGGAGATGGTGGAAATGCAGTAAACCTGTATGAACAGCCGCCCTAGTGGCAGGTTTTGTAATGTTTATGGAGTGATTTTGTTTAGGGACAGTATTCTATGTTTGTTCAGCACCTGTTTGATTAAAAACATGTCCCTCCAAACGATGTAAATGGTTGTCTCCCTGTGGCCTCTGCAGTCATGTAGGCTGCCACATTTCACCTGCCAGCTAGAGTATCATCCTTGATTCTGTCTGCTGTCCCACCAGATTTTTACACCGGTGAGCTTCAGCAGAGACTGAACTCCCTACCTCCTCTCCTAATCTGTTGATTCCTTCCAAATACGCCTATTCCCTCCTTGGAAAACAGCATTTTGGCCAGACCTCTTGCCTTGCTTGCTCTCTGGCTTTGCACATGTTAATCTCCCAGACCTGACAAAGGCTGCTGCAGTGTAGAAACTGGCCAGTATGCCCGCAGCCCAGCTCATTGGTTAGCTTCAGAGTTGCATCCCACTGGGGTCTGGATAGAGCTAGTCTATTCAGCTCAGGTGAGACTAGGAGGGTCAGTTGGACTAGGAGTCCAGCTGCCTCGCTATCTCTTGTGCTTGCCTCATTATTGCCGTGCATTACTCTGCATTTTACTATGATTTTTTTTTTTTGTTGGTGAGCCCCTAGCTTGAGTGCCAGGTATTTGTCCAGTATCTGCCCTGAGGTTGCAGTGAAGTGACCTACTACCACCTCCCACCCTGTTGTCCCTGCTCTCCGTGGTTGACTGAGTGCTTGCATATTGCAGAGAATTTACTGCATCCTCCCCTGGCATCAGCAGTTTTTTCCCCATGTGACAATCGCAGAAGCTTACCTCTTATACTACATGTTATTCCCAGGTTTAAAACGTAATGTTTATTGCTTTAATGTTATCCCCTCTTGTCTTCCTGAATACAGTAAAGGAGAAGTTGCGTTTGGATCCAGACAGTGAAATTGCTACTACAGGTGTTCGAGTCTCTCTCATCTGCCCGGTAAGTTTTTGCACAGCAATCCAGGCTTTTAACATTAGCTCTCCTATTCATCCGCCCAAACCATCTTTACAGGATAATCATCTTTTTCACCAGAAACATCTAGAAGCAGTTTCTTGTGTATTTGCACATGGCACCAGTATCCAATTTTGGAAGGGGAAGCATCTAGTGATGCAATGGTGGGATGGGTCACTGGTCTGTCTGCTCTTGGTCCCGTAGCTGGTGAAGATGCGTCTGTCTGTCCCATGCCGGGCTGAGACCTGTGCACACCTACAGTGCTTCGATGCAGTCTTCTACCTCCAGATGAATGAAAAGAAACCCACTTGGATGTGCCCTGTGTGTGACAAACCAGCACCCTATGATCAGCTAATAATTGACGGGTGAGTTCACACCCTCTTTCCTCTTCTGCCCCTTTGGTTATTCCTCCCCACCCTCTTCCACGTTGGGCTCATGCTCTGATTTGTAAGGCCTTATAGCTGATCCACCTCCATTTCAAAATTATTTTTAAGTTTAAAATATATAATTGCTCCATGGACATGTAAGAGACTAACCTCCCCGTTACGGGTGGTAGTGGGTTTGCGTGAGACTCGGTCATTAGTCTTTGCTTTTTGATTCTGTAGTTTCTCATCAGCTCGCTCTGAAACTCATACAACCGTATTCATTTTTCATCTTGGTGACCGCAAAAGCTAGGATGCTTTGCTCTTTTCCATGCAGTGATTGTTGATTGTCATTTACACTCCCTAGAGTAAAACTACTTTACACACTCCTGACAAGACAGGCTGCCTTCGGCATGCACTCCTCTCCCACTCCTTCGTTAAGGGCCTGATCCTGCAAGATGCTGAAGGTGCTCAGTACCTCACAAGCAGTTCTCAGCACGTCATAAGTATGTGCCAGCCATTAATCCAGGTGTCATTAGATGCAGAGCTAGCACATCTAAGATGGAGGTACGACTGCAGTTATAAACCAGTGCTCTGTGGGTACATTTTTTTGGATACTCCACCTGCAAACTGTGCAAATAGTGTCTGTAGTGGTAGGCTGCAAACTCCTCAAAGTCCTTTGCCGGCAAAGCTTTTTCTATTTTTATATATATTATGAGTTCCTATAAAAGGAACAAGATATGGGGTTGGAATCTTTGTAGGGGTATATTTAGGGTACTTTGGGCACCTTATTTATGAATATCCACACTTTCAAAGGTTTGGGGTTCTTGTAAGCTTAGTTTGGAATTTTCCTGGCTTTTTAGCCATTGTTTTTACGAATATGTTCTTGAAATGATTTTATTTTTACTTTTGATTCTTTTGGTCTGGGTTCATCAAAGCAGCTTAAGGTTGTAGTCTTGCATCGTTCAGTACTAATCCAGGCTCTTCCCTGCCAGTAGATGGAGACAGTACAACAGACGCTTTTATAATGTTCTTCCATGAATAAAAGGGGCTTGTTGGTTCATGGTTCTAGTAGTACAGTGTCTGCATCCAATAACCTTACTTTGGTAGGTTCAAAGAACCTCAAGCTGTTAAGAACTGAATCATCTGTGTTATAACGTCACACTAGTTGTTTGTGCTGCTTTCTGAGAGGAGCTTTTTGTGAGTAAGCGTTAAGCTTTCAGATGGAAGATCCTGTATATTGTACCTCTAACAACGTTACGAGGTCTGGTAGCACACCCCAGCACTTACTGTGCCTTCCATGCTGTTTGTAAGTGTGCCAGTAGGATTCCAAAAAAAGTCTCTAAGGTTTGTAGATGGCCCTGTTGGGCTCTGATCCAGCCAGTCGAGTTTGGATCACTTTGTTAAAACAGCATATGAAGGAGGAAGACCAGAGAACCAAGAGCATTATGGTCCACATTGGGAGGCAGGAGGGCCTGCATTCTGTCACCCCCAAGCTGGGGCAAGGGTCTGAAGCCACAAATTTTAGGGAAGGTCCTTAAAGACTGGCCAACCCCAAACCAATCTCCCCTTTTTGCCCCTTGTGGAGACTGTGTTTAATATATCTGGAGGAGAGTTCTTTCATTCTGTCATCTTATGCTGCCCAGTGTGTTCTTGTGGGTCCCAAACATTAGGGTGGCGACCCTAAAAGCCCATGCCTTCAGATTGTGAACCGTAGGGGGTTTCTTTGCCCTTTGAAAAAACTTGATGAGAGAACAACTGGCCTTTGAGGGGGCGTGTCTACAGATGCAATATTCAGTGTTGGGGTTCACATACCAGTACCAAGCTTTCTTCTTTGGACTAACATGGTGACCATTTATACATCAGCCTGGAAGGGAGAAGGCTTCACAGTCTATCCATACGTGGGCAACTGGCTGAGTCAAAGAAAGTCCTTAATCCTTAGCCTGGAAGACCTTTAAGAATGTCAGCTGCTCAAAGATTAATGCTTGATAATAGACCACCACCTTGGAGGTGATCTGCTTCCATTGTGCATCTCTGAACAAGGTTTGATTCATTGATATTGGAAGATCATATAAAGAAACATGGAGAGATGGAATTGAGTCTTATCAAGAGGATAGCCCTATCCAAGGAATGTCTGCCTCTTATCAGTGCTATCTGGTCTCCATATGCAGAACCTGGACAAGAGTCCTCTACAAGAACCACTGAATTAGCTAGTCCTGGCAATAGATGCCACCCAAGTTAGACTGACTAGGATCCCTGATAGCTCCAGAAACATGGCTTTAGATGCTGATCACCTTAAAGGAGAGCTCAGTAAACTGGCTGCCTGCTCTGCAAAGAGCAAAGTAAGGATCAAAGTGATGACTGTCATTGTTTCCTATGTGAACAAGGCAGCTCAGGAGTCAGGAAATGGCTAGACAGCCTGACTATTCACTGAGCTCCAGTGAGGAAATTGCTGACAGTCATAAAAATGGTGATGGCAACAAGCTGCAGAGCTTCTTGTTTCTGGGAAATGAACTCCCCCCGCCTCAGATATCTCAGACATCCTAATGGGAATTCCCTCAAATATACTGATGGACTCAATCACAAGAGCTCAGATGAATTCTACAAAGGGCAGATGAGTGAGTATATGTGAACTTCAACCTAGGTTATATATTTCCGTGGATTTAGTCATGCAGACTGTACTCAGGGCATCAAGAATTCATAGTTACTGATCTTCTCTGGCTCTTGTGTCCTCCTCGGTCAGTCTGAAGCAACCTCGGCATAGATTACCTGTTCACTTTGCCCTGTGGCCAATACATAGGCTTAGATTTTTCTTGGTAAACAGTAAAAATTCAAAGTTACTGATGTGCAAAGTAAGAAAAATGCTTGAAAACTTTATTAGAGTTTGATTTAAAGATATTTACTTTGTATATTTTGATGTTTGTTTTAACAGTCATAAAGCTTTAACTTTTTGAATCTCAACATCTACTGTCATTAAATTTTCCACAGTTTCAGGAAGTTAGGTGGGGTCAAACAATTATTTAAACAGATGAAAATGGAAGAAGGTGCTTAAATAGTCTTTGAGACTATCCTTCAAAATTATTAAATAAATTCTGCCAAGCCTACCAATACATACTCCAGGGAGAATTTTGCGGCACTGCGTGTGTGCAGAATTCATGTCCCCCGCAGATTTCTTTGCTTCCCCGCAGAAAAATGACTTCTGACAGGAAAGCAAAGGGAAGCTGCAAGAGCAGTCATGCGCCACTTCCCGACAGCACAGGCAGGTTGGCTCAGGTGCCCAGAGCAGCCGGTAGAGGCGTAAATCACCGCCGAGAGGGAGGAGCTGGGCAGTCGTGCAAGTGAAAGAGAGAGACACTCTGTCCCTCTCACTCGCTATTGCAGTATGCTCGGCATGGAGTGGCAGAGCTTCAGGGTGTTTCTGAGGAGGTAGGCATGGGGCAGGCTCTGTCCCCTCAGGCAGAGCAGGATGTAGCAGCCTGCCCGCTTAATGAATTGTTCCCATTGTCTTTTTGAATTCCCCCCAGGTGTATAAAACAGCTGTAAAAGTTTTAAGGCTCCTTCACATTGCCAGAAGGGTGTAAAGGACAGTATCCCCTTATAAATGCTTATTGTGCTTTCGTGATTAGAACTGGTCTAAGTTTTTGGACTGAAAACATTTCCTATCAAAATGTGCTCCATGAACTGTTTGCTACTGGCCTTTCTGGAGGTGGTCAGTAGCCAGTGTAAATTGTGAGTTTCATTCCCCAGCCCTCACTTGCTCTTCAGTTGCCTATGATGTAACACTGAGCATATGGCTGCATATATTTGTTGACTAATAACTAGAAATAAAGGGTCAAACCTAGCTACATTACTATTAGACAAAGGGGGTTGGGTACTTCCGCCGATGCTCCCCACTCCCATTCTCCATCCATTGTATGGTAGTTTAAATAAATTACCAAAATAATTGAAACCAGAATGATGATATTGCATTATTTTGACAAAATATGTAGATTTTTGCAGAATTTTAAAACATCGTGCGCAGAATTCCCCCCGGAGTAAATACAACAGGAACATTTCCCTTTCTCGTTTATAGCCTGGCTATGGAGGACTAGCTTATAGAAGAAGGGTGCTATCTCCACTGGCAAAGCTTCGTTGTCTTTATTTTAGAGCAGAAAACACTGATGTAGAGAAGATGAACTCGATCCAGTCCGTGCCTTTGTCAATAATCTGGCATTTCTCTAGACAGCTGGACTTGATACCTGTTCGGTTTTTGTAAAATTGGTAGTAATAGTCAGTCTTTAGGAGTAAACTAGAACTGACGATGTTGGAGTCTCATCTGGATGTTGTCCGTTTCAGCAAGCAAAGGAACACAACTCATCCAGTAAAGATCCAAAGAAGCTACTGAAGACCAAGCTAGTTGAGGGAGCTCATGTAAGCGTCCCTGAACCATTTTACATCCTTAAAGTTCTATTTCTAGTATTCATTTTGCTAGGCTAGGAGACTAGAGCTGTCCAGATCCTGTCGTGAATCAAATAGCAGATCCTACTCAATCAGGACAAAGCAGTGCTCAGAATGGTATCACACTTCAAGGAAACTTCATGAATGGCCTTTTACAAATCAAGTGTTGGTTCACCCTCATACTGATAAAGGAAAAACTCTACAGCCTAGGCATGAGTGATGCTTTCTACAATCTGAATTCTAGATGGTCTGTTCCAATAGCTATTAAACAAGCACCCTCCTGAGGCCAGTGATGAGAAACACTTCAACAGTAGTAAAGCAAATGCCCAACCTCTAAGGCATGATGAACCAGAGAGGTAGTCTCTATTTAGTTAGAGGTCCGTCTCTTCGTGATTAGAGATAGGTAAGGTAGCCATCTGGATCTATGCCATCATTTTTGTATTTTCAACACAATAGCCATCTGGATCTATGCCATCATTTTTGTATTTTCAACACAATAGCCATCTGGATCTATGCCATCATTTTTGTATTTTCAACACAATATGGGCTGGGCACAGAAGCTTTTTCTGATGCAGCCTCTAGCGGGAGGACATTGCATCCAGAGATTTCAGCACTAGCTTGGGAAGTCCAGCGTCTGGACTGATAAAGAGTGAGAAGAGAGGAAGGCTACACTTCCTACCTGACTTTATTAATCTGGTGGATTACTCTGTCATTTCATAACGTAATAAACTGAATATGTGTGCACAAGTCACCCAGTGTACTATAGATGTGGCATCGTAAGAATATTGTCTGGGGAGCAGCACAAGGGACTTGTCTATTGGTCTAACTTCCCACTTGCAGCGGGGTGGGAATGTGTTCTACTATAATTAAAATTTTAGGGATCTGATGGGCTACAGGATGGGGTGTGAGGAGCTGAGTCTTTGGCATGGTGTTCAAATGTGGTCTAATAACTGAGCTGGTATCTCGGCCCACTTCCTAGTGGAAAGTCTTCATTACATAACTACCACCTGTCATAAGTAACAGTAGTTGTCCTCTCCCACACCATGGGCAGCGTCAACAGAGACCAAGGACTGAATTGAGCATGGAGGCTGCTCTGATTCATGGTTTAAGCCGTGTCAGGATGGATTGGGGATGTTGGCACTGCCAGTACCTGTTGTGTGGGGGGAAAATAGGACTTGGGTGTAGCAGCTTTTCACTACCAAATTCCTTCAAACATAAATTTTAGGGCCATTTAAGGTGAGGATCCATCTTAGCGTTCTGTCATCAAAGGTGCTCTGCTGATTGCCTCAAGGTTAACAGATGGCATCTTCTTTCCTCTCCAGGCTGCTATCAAAAATATTGACGGAATGCGAGGATGCAGATGAAATAGAATACCTGGTGGATGGATCCTGGTGTCCAATCAAAGCTGAGAAAGAGAGAAGCTGCAGCCCTCAATGTCCAATATTGGTACTAGGTAGGTGTGTAGTGAGTGGGGTGAACGATTTTAAATGCACTGAAAGATAAACTGTAAAGAACATACACAAATCACTTGATACAACATCAGGAAGCTGGGTCAGTGTTGGAGAGTTATAAACACCTTATGAGCTCTGCTCAGAATACCATTATAAGTCAGCTAATAGGTTCCCCCGTCTTTCTACACAAAGGAGTAAGTAGTATCAGAGAGGTAGTAACTGCACAGTAAGGAGGGGATTATTCTGGTTGGGGTCCTCCAGCCCTTTGAGTAAATCCCTAATGGTTGAGTTAGCATTCAGATCAGTTGTTTAGCAAAACTGGGTTATGCCTTCAAAGTGGCATGGAATGAATATCTTTTGTATATTCACTTACGGAATAACCCTGAAATGTTTGCCTCCACTCATGGACAGTGGAAGGCCAGACCTTTCCTTAGTGGTGGTGTTACCAACAAATCCGTCTGCGTTGTTCTGTAACATCTCTGACTGAAGCAGTCCCTTACTTTTGTGCAAATATTTCCCGAGCAAACACTAATTCTTTGAGTGGCTGCAGATGTGCTTGCCCACAGCACTGACGCCAAGGAACTCTGTTTGGCAGTACCTGTTGGGGTGGCGCTCATGCCCGCTGGCTGCCATAGCCCCTCCTATGGCTATATAGGGGAGGCAGTGCCCTGACCCCCCTCAGTTCCTTCTCGCCCACCCGCGGCTTGAGTTGGAGCGTTCAGTGTAGTGTCTCACCTCACGTTCTGCATCGCAGTGTTTATCCAAAAAAACCAAAGAAATAGTTTAGTAGTACCTTAGGGTTTAGTGTAGTTAGTTTTTAGCCAGGTGTGACGCCTTCTCTGAGTTTTAAGCATTGTCCACCATGTGGAGTAGCTATCCCTACCAGTGATCCCCACACTCAATGTTTATTGTGCCTTGAGGAAGGGCACATTAAGGAAAGATGCTCCATCTGTAAGCTCAAGAAGAGAATGCAGGTGTTTAGAGCCTTGCACTTAAATTAGCATCTACTAGGGCAGAACATGAGGCCTGCTTCAGCATAGGGGACCGCCACAGATCATCAGGCCCCTCAGAGAGCACCTGAGCTGGTACAGGCTGCGACTCCACAGTCTCACTTGGATTCCTCGCCCAGGAGGAACAGCGATTGTTCTCCTTCCTTTGGAAATCTGAGGAAAAGCTCTCACAAAATGGCCTGGAGCCGCTCCAGAGCTTGGAGAGATTCCTCCTCCCCTTCTAAGAAGAATGTAGACCGGCACCGTGAGTCTTTCAATATATGGGGTAGAGGTGGACTGTCAACCCACCCTGCAGTACCAGTGTGAAACCAGTTAGAGACCGTACAGTAAACTCTGGTACTGATGCCTGTGGGGCATCCACTGAGTCCAGTACCACCAACAACAGTGGTGGTGTCATCATGGATGCTTCCCATATTGGCGGTGTATTGGCAGCAGTGGATTTGCTGTGCCTTTCTGTTCCTGACTCACCACTTGTTCAGGAGCATTTTACAGTGGTGGCTTAGTATTCGGTGTCCTTGGTACCACTGGGACTGGCTGCAGACTGTTGTTGGCTCTGTCGACTGCAGCACCTCGTATCCATGGGCCAGGGTTGCAGGTGGCTTCCTGGTCAGCATCTGCACTGCCAAACCTCTCAGTACAATCTTCAGTACCGACAATGATTGCAGCACTGTCTAACTCTGAGTCTGAGACCAACTTTGGTTTTGGTACGAATGCCAGCTTCGATACCGAGTGGGATGCCTTTATCAGGACTGTAAGTGCCATCTCTTGCAGATGATGCAAGGCGTTTACTGGCTTCATCTGGAGTGGCTTCTCCATTATAGCCAGACTATGTGGAAGGGTCTTCAGGATCTAGTTAGGAGACATTTCCATCCCTTCACGTTCACAGTACCACTCTGAGGTCACTTAAACTTCTGGGCGATTGCCAGTGGTATGGGGATCGGTACCATTTATGCAGTAGGGATAACTGCACCTGGCGTAGCTTCTACTGGTCACTAATGTCATTCCCTATCCAAAGTGGCTTACTTGGCATCCTTGGGTGGATCCTTATTCAGCAAGGTCCTGATCTTCCACTAAGTCCAGGGAAGATCACCTGTTCTCTCCCCTTGTGAGCTGCTTGAGCTTCAGCCATAGACTGAGTAAGCTCCCTCTTAATTGGTGCATCCTGGATCCCTTGTTATAGTCATGTACTTCCACTGCTTCCCTCTTCTTCTTTGTCACCAGATGATACTATATTGCTGGATTCTTCATCTCTGGTACCTGAGGATTTAAAATCCTATCAAGATCTCCTGAGATGAATGACCTTGATCTTGGCTATTCAAGCTGAGGTTTTTAATGAGAACAAACACGTTACTTGATATCCTTCAGCTCTCAGCTCCTAGGAGAGTGGCTCTCATTATAAATGAAGTGATATTAGAGCCTCCCAAATCTGTGAAATACCCCGCCGTGTCTCTAACACCCACAGTGTACTGATAAGAGAAATTATGTTCCCAGGCAAGTGTGTTTTCTCACATCCAGCTCCTGATTCCGTGGTTGTAATGGTGAAAAACGAGAAGTTACAACAGGGGAGATATAAATCCACTCCTCATGTCGGCGTCTAAGAGGTTGGACTTGATGGGGTGGACAGTTTATTCAGTCTCTTCATTACAAATGTGCGTTGCCAACCAGCAGAAACTATGACCTAAATATGACTTTGTGAATTCGGATGTTGTGTCCATGTCTACAGATTAGTTATCAGAATCCTTCAGGGAGAGTTTTTAGGCATTTATTGCATAAGGCCATTCAGTGGCCACAACCTCTTTGCAGTCAACATTGGATGTGGCAAATGCTTCATCCAGATTTATGGCCTCATCTGTAACATTGAGAAGGGCCTCGAGGTTACGGAATTCTGGCATAGCTCCTGAGGTCCAAAAGAGCATAGAGGACTTACCTTTTATGGTCAGTTTTTGTTCTCTAAGAAACTGATGATACATTGCATTATTTTGAGGACTTGTACTACATTCCAGTCATTAGGAATTTTATACCCAGTCCACAAAGAGTCGTCATTTTGCGGGGTCAGCGACAGCCCAGCAACATTGTCTGCAGTGATACTTCCAGCTGTTATCCTCCCTTGCTAGGCCACAAGACTTCTTCAGAAAAGGGCATAAATCACCAGAAGAGACCTGGTTCTAATTTTAACCAACCAGCCCATCCTCCTCCTCCTCCATCTTTGGGCAGGCAGCGTCTTTGACTTGCATATCGAGAGCAGCTTACCAGTTGTGACCGTCTCAACTACATCTCAGTTCAGGGACGGGCTGTCTCACTTCTGCAGTGCATGAGAAGCAATAACTACAGACAGATGGGTACTAAGCACTGTGGGGTCAGGTTATGCCATCCAACTTCTATTTCCCCTTTCCACACGTTTACCCCCATCCCTTTTCATGGACCCATCTCACGAGCCGCTGCTGCTGCTTCAGCAGGTTCAGACTCTGTGCTCTGGGAGCTGGAGAGAAGGTGCTTCCTCTCCATCATGGAAAGGGATTCTACTCCTGGTACTTCCTGATCCCTATGTCCAAGGGAGGGTTGACACCTATTCTCAGTCTCCATGGTCTCAGCAATTACATCAAACGCATAAAATTCCACATGGTTACCCTGGCTACTATTCTCCCCACATTGGATCACGCCGTCTGGTTTGTTGCTCTCAATCTTCATGATGCCTGTTTTCCATCTGGTGATTTTCCCAGACCACAGAAAGTTTCCTAGTCATCAATCAATCATTATCAATACACTGGTCTCCACTTTGGCCTGTCATCAGTCCCACGTGTCTTTAGTGAATGCATAATGATGGTTGCAGTGGCTTATCTCCAGTGGAGGGGAATTCATGTCCTCCCGTACCTAGACAATTGGCTAGTGAGGGGCAGATCCAAAGAATAAGTCCTCAGTCCTCTTCTGTTCACACTGTACCTCTTTGATCACCTGGGTCTGATTCTGAACACAGCAAAGTAGACATTGATTTTTATGGGGACTCTACTAGACTCTATGATTTTGAGGGCCTTTCTCCTGTGTCCGCGATTCCAAACAATATGATGCCTGTGTGCCTCTGGACCTCTAATCTCAGCCTTCGACCCTGGTCCACGTATACCAGAAATTACTAGACCATATTGGCCCTGTGCACTTACGTGGTCCAGCACACGAGATTGCATCTTTGTCCTCTTCAGTCATGGTTGAAGTTGGCCTATCACCTGAGTTGCCAGTCATTGGACAGGCTGGTCTGAGTGCTACCAGAGATACTGGTCTTGCTACTGTGGTGGGCTAAACAGAACAATGCATGTCAGGTTCCCTTTGCCTGTCCTCTACTGACCAGGACTCCAGTCTATGATGCTTCCATAATAGCGCATCTAGGGACATTAAAGGTTCATGATTTTGTGGTCAGAGATGGAAGCGTCTTTTCATATCAACACACTGGAGCTTTGCACCACTTACGATGCTTGTCCTGCCTTTGGGGATCAGATCAGGGGAGCATACCAACTGACAGTACCATCACAGTGGTTCATGTGAACAGCCAGAGAGGAGCCCGCTCCAACCAGCTTTGCCAGGAAGCAATAGAGTTCTGGTACTTTGCATCAAAGACATCATGCTTACAGCCTCACGCTTACCGGCTTCGCAAAACCAATTGGCCAACCATCTCAGCAGGACTTTCTCCGAGAACCGCAGGTGGTCTCTGGAAAGCAGCATGGTGAGGTCCATCCTCGGGGAACAGGGCATCCCTTCAGTAAACCTGTTTGGAACAAAAGATAGTAAAAGTGCCATCAGTTTTGTTCTTGACCAAGCCTCAGTCCAGGATCTTTAACCAATGCCTTCCATTTGAATTGGAGATCAGCCCTGATATATACCTTTCCCCTATTCCTCTTATCTCTCAGGTTATCCTCAAACTCTGAAGTCAGACCTTGCCAAACTGATACTTATTGTGCCAGCTTGGTCAAGACAAGGTTGGATCTCTAATCTTCTCAATCTGTCTGTCCAGCCTCCCAGATCTCTGTCTCCTTTCCAACCTACTGACTCAGCACCATGGCCAAGTTGCATATCCTATGCTGAGCTGTCTAAACTTCACGGTATGGATGATTAGATGAAGAGGAAAGGCAGTATTCAGAAGCAGTTTGGAGGGTCCTACTTAATAGTAGAAAATCATCTACTAGGACCACCAATTTAGCCAAGTGAAAGTGTTTTTTCCATTTGGTCAATATCTAGGGGAATTCAGCTGATGTTCACTCATGCTCAGGATGCTTTGGGATTACTTGTTACATCTGAAGTCCTCCCGTCTGCCTCTTAGCTGTTAACTGAACTCTCAACAAGCTATCTCGGCATTCCATTTTCCAATCCAGGGGAAGTTAGTTTTCTCAGACTCCATAACAGTGAGATTTCTGAAAGGTATTGTCAGTCTGTGTGCACCTGTGAAGGAAATGGTCCCATTGTGAGACCTTAATGCTGTACAGGCCACCCTCCTGTATCCTCCATTTGAGCCGCTACCAGCTTGCTCTTTGTCTCTCCTTTTTCTTTCCAAGAAGACTGCCTTTCTTATTGCTATAACATCCACAAGAAGAGCCTGCCAACTGCAGGCCCTAATGGCAAGATTTCCTCCTACACAGTTCTTCAAACAGTGTCCTTCAGGCCACATCTGAAGTTCCTTATCCAAAGTGATTTCACAGTTTCACCATAAGCAAGTAATTTACTTACCCTGTATCCTTTACTAAGTCACACTCAGATGATCGGTGTCTTCATATGTTCGATGTGAGGCAATGTTTGGCATTTTATGTGGAAAGGACTAAACCACTTCAATCATTGCACTGGCCTTTTGTCTTTTGTGCGGATTGGATGAAAGGGCACCTGGTCTCAACACACACAATTTCCAGGTGGGAGAACTTCCAACATTATGACCGCTTATGAAGTAGCCATAGTGACATCTGTCATTTCTCAACAGTGTTTCGATAAGGGACACTTGCAGGGCTGCTGCATGGTCTACTATACGTACTTTTACTAAACATAATGCTGTTGTGGTGGCATCTAGGTCAGGTGCAAACTTACGGAAGGCAGGTCTGAAGTCATTGTATGAGTAGATTCAAGCAGTACCAGTAGGAGGTAGGACTTGGAGAATCATCTGAGTGAAATATACGTCTGCAGCTACGCAAAGAAAAGATGGTTACTTACCTGTAACTGTTCTTGGAGATGTGGGTGCAGACCTATCTTCTGCAATCCCGCCCTCTGTTGTGTCTGCATCAGAGTCTCCAGTCTTGGATTCTGGTTTCAAAGAACTGAGGGGGGGTCAGGGTGGAGTGGCCTGTATGTAGCTACGGGGAGGGGCTTTGGGGGCCAGAGTGCATGAGCAGTGCCCTGATGGGTACTGCTAATCAAAGTTCTCTGGGTGTGTGCACATGTGAGTGGAATAAATGTCTGCACCCACATTTCAAAGAGCAACAGTTACAGTACAGATAAGTAACCATCTTCCTTCCAGGGTGTATGGGCCTTCCAGGGCATCTCAGGAAGTATTCACTTACCCCACTGGTCTTTGAAGTATGTGGATTTCCGTACGCAGCCTCCCTAGAAGGAATGTTTTATCTGCCCCTTCTCCAAATACTGTTCAGATATGCAAGGAGGTTGCATCCCTCTGGGATTTGCTGTGGTGGTGATGATGATGGTGAAAGAGCTGCTGAGAAGTGTTAGTAAGTTTTGTAGATGTTCTAATGAAGCCTTTCTTCCCAGGTTCTTCTGATGTGAACGGGCTGTTGCCCACTCCCAACGGTAATGGAGAGAACGGCAAGGTTGCCGCCGACGTTGTGGATTTAACACTGGACAGTTCATCATCTGAAGAAGAGGAGGAGGAAGACGAAGAAGACGACGACGACGATGACGGACCCCAACCGAAACGACGCTGCTCTTACGAGAAAGGTTTAGTTTCTGCCTGCTGACTGCGGAAGTAGCTCTGAATCTCAGAATGGACAGACTTGAATACTCTGGTGCTTACTAAACTGGAGGGTAGGGGAATTTCTCCTTCGCCTCACTTCCCTTCCTCCCTGGTCTCCTCTTGACGTTCCTATTCCAAGTTAACCATTAAAACGAAAAATAAAACCATTGAGCTGCTTCTTGGTTGGAAAACTGCCCCACTAAACAGCCTGACCCGAGTTCTGCCAGCTCAACCTGACCCGGAGTCTGAAGTAAGGAAAGTGTCTTAAGCCAGGCGGCCAGGATCCAGAGCTAACTGACCTCGGCTGCCATTCAGCATTACAGTGTGAATCTCTGGAGTTCCCCTGAAAATCTACGGGATGGCTAACTCCAGTGCATCTCCAAAGCTGTGTGCATTTTTATTGTCTTGTTAAATAACCATTCCTGATTATCTAAAGTTTTGCTGGACATGTGAATGGGTGGGTTAGGGTGGGAAAGAGAGGGACTTGGGGTGGAGGGGGGAGGTTTATATATCCCAGCAAGGTTAGAGGGTTTTTTAGGGGTGGGGGAAGGAATGAAAGGAAAGAGACTTAAGATTGGAATCGCACTGTTCTAGTTAGGAGCTCCAGCAGCTCTGCACCTCATGTAAAGAGACACATTTTGAATCCTTTTAATCTAATCTGAAGATAATGTAGAAATCGTGCATAGTGAATCATTTTAGTTGAGCAGAAGCCATGGGGAGGGTGGGGAGGGCTTGAACCACAAATCTGTTGTATTTTTGAAGTGCAATAACTTGGTGTTTTTGAAGACTAAAAGGGCTGGGCATTCCCTTTTGTAAAGAAGGCTTTGTCTCGGGAATCGGTGCCAGGAGCCTGCAGGACAGCTGACGCCCATCACCTGGACATGTGGCATTGTGTAGGCGTGAGGTGGGGTGGAGGGGATGTATGGCCTTCAAGAAAATGCCAGGTGGGGAAATCTCAGTTTCTAGCCAACTACCTCGGTAACTCCAATTCAGGTTTATTTCAGTCATGAAACAGTGCAAAGCCCATCACTGGTACTGCTGACCGCATTCATGTCATGGTGTTTGGAGACTTAGCCAAGGGCTAAGTGGAGCACAGCGACCACGTGTTGATGGCCTCTGGACTTTTCCACTTCTTTTAAGACTTTGATCCCAGACCCAAAGCTACTGTTAAGCTCTTAATGGCAAAACATTGTTGCTTTTGAGTTTCCAAATGGTAACCTTTTCCTTTGTCTTGTAAAGATTTTTTGGTAACTAAATTGCATACGCCGCTCTGCCTGTTCCTAGTTAAAAGCCTCTGAAGTCTGCATCTCTTTTGCTGACTTTCTCGTCTGTGGATGAGAATAAACTTTAGAAGGAAGTTGGCATGTTAACTTTGCCCGTGTACCAGGGAAGGGTGGAACTCAAAGTAACTGCCCTTAGTAATGCACTGGACCACCCCACCAGCTGAGCAGAGATGCTGTAACCAAGGCCATGCGAGTAGCTTCCAGTTGTGCTGTGTATAGACTTCCCAGCTGCTGGCAAAGGACATTCTCTCCTTTCCAGCCCCACCACCCCTTCTGCTCACACTGTACTCTCTAACCGTCGAGCCCAGCTGCGGTGAAAGTACAGACACATGGGGAGCATGGACCCTATTTCATCTCCTGTAATTACCTCTTCCCCTAAAGCTTGGGCCTGGAGGAAAGGAGGCAGCTATGTTAAAACACAGAACCAAAGTGATGGTGCTTTCCAAAGCACTTCTGATGCATTTAAGAAAAAGTAATGCATTTAAAATACCCCATCAACTTAAAAGCCATCAAGTTCCACTAGAACTCTTTTAAAATACCCTTTTAAGGACCTACTCTAAAGCATGTAGGAAGAGAGCCGAATATTATCCCATAAAGGCTATTGAGCAGAAAGTTAGACCCTGGCTTTTGGAGCCTTCCCTCTCCAAATTCTCACTGAAACTGGTTGCATGATGTATGAATAGAGCTTTCTCCAGTGAGGCATGTTGTCCCTCAGATTAAGCTGCTTCAAGAAATCCCGTGCCCTGCGGTGGTGGGTTATCTCACTCTGCATCCTCTGAGAGCGAGAGCTGATCACCTTGGACCGCATGGGCATGTTTGAAGGGAAAAGTCCTTCCTGCAAATCTGTATTCGGCCCAGCAAACGGAAGCGGAGGCATGTTTCTGCTTTTTCTCCCCTCCCTCCCCCCTAAACGAACACTTGCAAAGCTGACTGGCAGGTGCACATCAGGGCGGGGGGATTGTCAAGAAGCCTCCCTTGCATTTCCTCAGCAGCACCAGCCTGTGAAAACACGATGGTGAAGGAATTGCCCAGGGCCCCCCTCAAGAGCAATTGAGGGGATGAGGGACGGGAGGGAAAGAGGCAACCCTGGAATCTAGTTCACTCGTCCACCATTTTAGTTCCTTTCCCACAGGAAAACCTTTATTTGTATGGAAGACTTTTTTCCTTTTTTGTTTTCTTTCTTTTTTTTGCAAATAAGCAATATGTTTTCAGGTTGAAACAAATAAATAAATAAAACCTTGGTAGAGCTCCAATTGTTTTACTGTATAAAGGGTTTGGCGGCTTGCACCCCCAGCCGCCCGGTAGTGTTACAGTCCGGTTTTTTTCCTAATATTTGTATCCTAATTTAATTGTTTTTAAATTTTGCAGGCCAAGCCACTGTTTGGAGACATCATGCTTCTGTTACTGCTTTCTGTTTGGAGTTGGCCAGCTCCTCCTGTACATATGTTTGTTCTTATAGCCTGTTTTTTTCTTTTTTATAAAGAAGAGGAAAAAAACAAAACAAAAGAAAATTATTTTTCTTTCCCTCCGTACACATTCTTCAGCGTTCAGAATTCTAGTGTTTGTTAAATAAAAAGAAAGATTTACATTTAATTCCCAGCTTGTCCTTTTCCGTTGTGTACTTTGGGGTCTCCCTCTTCTGACTGAAGGCATGTCTACCTTACAGCTGCTTCTACGGTCTACACCAGAGCTGGGCCATTGGAGTGCCATTACGTGGACCCTGCTTTCCATATATGGACAGAAGGGGTTTTTCCGTTGACGTTGTTAATCCACCTCTTCGAGAGTGAAAGAATTCTTCTGACCTAACTGCGCCTCCACCACGGGTGAGGTCGACCTGATGTCACACCGAGCGAGACGTTTCTCCCAGCACTGAACAACAGAGCTAGGTTGATCTAATTTTTAAGTGTAGAGCGGGCGGGAGAGATGGTGGATTCTCCATTGTGTGGGGTCAAGATTGGGAGCCCGATGCCTTGTTACCCAGCGTTGTCAATTACACCAGGGGGAAGTGGGCGTGAATGTTACCATGGTGATTTACTAGCACTTTTAAACTCAGTGAGAAGTTCAGGGCAAGGGAGAATCCGATGCTCCGGACATCTAAAAAAGATGGTCTGGCTCCACTGTATGTTGGGCTTCATGTAGGAGTCACGGGATGGGATTCTCTGGCCAGTATCATGTAGGTGGCCAGGCTAGGTGATCATAATGGTCATCCTTAATCTGTGACTCTCCAGGGGAAGATGTAACATTGCAACTCCTATGCTGTAACTTTGAGTTAATAACTCGATAGTGACGTGGCTGACTTCAGATACGGTTTGCGGCAACAGATGATTAATATTCAGAGCTGTAGTAGCTTACCACATGCATCCTAAGCGGGAACACGGATGTCAAATTGGTCACAGCCACCTTTTTGGCTGTGTGGAGGAGACTCCCTTTAACCATTTAACCAGTTTGCCTGCTTCTCCCTCCTAGTTCTCAGTGCGGCAGGCAGGGCATCCTAGAATGCGCAGGTGGACTGCCACTCTGTGGGTGCGTGTTCCCGGCAGAGGCACGGGGCGATAGCTGCCTACATTTTCCCAGACTGCATGGAGTTAAAACTCAGCTGTTCAGAGGCGCTATGGGGGACAAGCTTAGTGGATGTGTGGTTGCCGTGGAATAAGTGCTGTGTGGAGAACTCCATGCCTGGGCCAGAAGTGTGTCACAGACTGGTTACTAAGACATAGCTGTAATCTCAGTTTATATGGGGCCTTGGTCTGTCGGAGTGTGTTCATCTCCTGACCATAAATGGGGGGTGTGTACATCTGTTAAATTATAGCAATGAACCTCCCACATGTCCCCCGCCATAACTCCTGAATTCATTAGGAATAAAGTGGCTGCCTTGTCCTTTATTTTGCATTCCTGCTTGTATCATTAACGGGGCTTCTGAGTGGGAAAGGCTGCTCTGAGCTTGCATGGATCCTTTTACCGATTAAATCTGGGACCAGCCCTTGTTCCTCTCTCCTATTCAAGTTGGGGGCTTTTTTTGGTATTGGAGGTCTTATGAGCCATCAGCATTCACACTGAGCTCTGGCTCCATTCCCTGCAGATATGCTCAAATCACCACTTAAAATAGGACACTGAACCAAACTAGGCTTTATACAATGACCCATTTATTTCATATAAATGTCTGGAATTTAGATCAGCACCAAAACAGAAGTGCACCATTTTGTTTCTTATCCATGTTAAGAGGGCACCAATCAGCAACAGCCTGTCCTTGGGCACGGCCACTGAAACAAAAAGCACGTGGCAGCCAGAATTGTGGAAGGAACTACACTTTCCAAACCCTAACCAGCATGGTCCACTGAACTGGGATTTAAGAGAGCTTTTCCTAGCTCTGCCACTGAACAGCGGTGACACCTTGGTCAAGTCACTTCCTTTCTCTGCCTCTTCCCTCTCCCACCCTTTGTTTGACTTGTCCACTTAGATTGTAAGCTCTTTGGAGCAGGGGGCCATTGTGTAAGTAAAAGGTGGAGGGCTTTGGGACCCCTAGGTGTTACTGTAATTTAAATAACTCTCTTCTGTCCTGGAAGAGTTTTGCTACGTAATCTTCAAAAAATGACTGAGGATCAGTGAGAGCTGGGCCGATGAGATCCACTAACAGGCAACCCAGCACGAGAACAACAGCACAGAGGTCTAAAGCAAAATACGCCAAGCACTGGACTTCCTGGAAGATGCGGCCCTGCTTAATCCTGCTGCAGGTCTCGAATCCTGGCTTTGAAATGTCTGAGCGATTCCAACAAACTGATGGGCTGGAAATTGGCTTTAAAGCGCTTGGAACGCTGGCCCATCCACCCGCAGACAGTGAGAGACCGCAGCCTCTGGTGGGCTGGTTCCCTGTGGATAACACCAGCTGTCTTAGCTGTTGCAGATAAGGGAGTCTTCCCACGTAACAGTCAGATTCTGGTTTCTCCATGCGTTCTCTGTAGTGTTAGAGCATTCAGCCTTTCATTTGGCGAGGAACACAGTTACAGCACCATCTATCAAGCCACTTTTAAAAACCTTCCCTAGAAAGGGCATAAAATCTTCCCATACCAGTAGCCAAAGCCCTGATGCTTGGCTTGAAAGTACAAATTAGCACAAAGAAACCTGGTAAGTTGCACAGAGTTTTTAACGTTCCCGTGCCCTACTGCAGGAGCACATGGATGCTGGGTAAGGGTGGCCCATCCGGGGCCTAAGATCATGAGATTTGGAGGGAATCTTCAAAAGCGCCTCAGTGGCTTACGAGCACACGTCCCATTGGCTTTTGGTGTGCTCCTAAGTCACTATGGGTCTGTCTACACTGCAATTAAACACATGCAGCTGGCCCTTGCCAGCTGACTCGAGCTGGGGCTGTAAAACTGGTGTAGACATGCGGGCTGGAGGCTGAGCACCCTCCTCGTGGGGCCCCAGAGCTTGGGCTCCAGCCTGAACGGCCACCCTGAAATTTTACAGCCCCACAGCCGGAGCGTGAGTCAGCTGACACAGGCCAGCTACAGGCGTTTCAAGGCAGTGTAGACGCATTCCTTCGGCTACCTCTGGGCGCTTCCCAGCACGGGTAGAATAACGTGCACTAGCTTTGCGCAAGCTATCCCGCGAAAAATGGTAGTGTGGCCACAGCACCTTGGGTCACCCATCCAAAATCCTGGATACATGCTTGGGGGCTTGTCCGCGCTGCCAGGGCCACCCTGCTATTTTAGCACACTGGCTTGAGGAGAGCTAGCCCGTGTCCGTCTGCCTAAGCTGGGAATTACACCTCCCGTCTGCAGTATAGATGTACCCTTAGGGTCTTCTGCAAAAGCCTGGTTCTCATTTACACTAGGGCCTCCTGATACTGTTCTGGTGGTGCAAAGGGGTCTCCCTTTGGGTGTAAATGACTTCGAGTTTAAGTCCGGCAGAACCTTATGTCTAAATGTGAATCAGGCCCTAAGTTCTGAATTGGTCCATACAGTGGAGGAAGGGGAGTTAATTTCTCATGCACGAGGCTGACTAGACAGGCCAAATGGGAACCTTGCCAGCTGGTTTTCTTAACCTGTGTATTAAAATACATTGGGATTTTAAGTTGGTTTAATTTTTATGGGCACTTTAAAAAAAATTGGGTAAAATGCCCTGCTTCTATCAGACCAAGGCCTGTTCTCTATTCTGAAGGAGCGTGTCTGTTTGATCACGGCAGGGGTGGAGTGAGGTGATCTTTCAGTTCTATTTTTAAACAGGTGGGCCACTCACTCCAATGGGAAAGTGGGAAGGGCAAGGGTGGGGGGGGGGTAAGGGTAGAAATTGTCCTTTTGCAAGACAGGCCTAGAAGAACATGAGAACGCAGTAAGTGGGAGGCTGGTTGAGATGAGAGCTCGACACATCATTCAATTGTAGAAGAGGCACAAGCCATCCTAAATGCACAAATACGCACATCGGAGTGGACAGGCCTAATGCCGAAGGTCAGTACGGTTTCGTATTGACTTTCTTGTGGCCACAGGAAGGTTTTAAGAATTGGCAGCTGCTCTAACCTCCGTGGTTTAGAGCAATTTTGCTTTTAGTTACTGAGCATCTCACCCCTCTTGCTGTCCTCAGGGTCAGAGATTAAAGGTCAGTGAGGTACCCAACTTCTGTTGATTTGCCGGGCCAGTTGGGCACTGAACTCTCATTTGCGCCTTTGGAAATCTGGCCCTAACAGCAGCTAGTGCTTGGTGATGCAACATGAGTGGGTTGTTACTTGAATACATCTTTGCTGGTTTGCCTGGCTAGCGCCTCATTCTTAAGTTGCTGGCTGAGGATGTGAAATTTCTTCCCTTCAAAAGCTTTCGATTCATCCTATGATTCTTTGTGATCAGTTATCCTGTGACCAGTATGAAAAATGTAGCTCTTCAGAGATACCCTCACCATGGGATTCCCAGTCTTGTGCTCCTTGTTCACGGCTGAAAAAACACCCATTGCTCTGTGATTCTTTGACATCAGAAGTAGCGGCCTGGAGCACAAGACCCCTTGGGCACACTCAAGCCACGCCGGTACCTTGGCTTCTTTTATCGACTTCCCTAGTTGGCTTTTTGCTGATCCTGCTCAGCAATGGAGTTCCACAACTGGGCCCCCAACTCTCCTTTGACACCTTTCCACCCAAGGGAGAGAGCTGATCTTGGGTCCCTTGCTTATGGATCTGCAGCCCCTCTGCGGTAACAGAGCCAGCGAATAAGCGTGCTGATGGCTTTCAGGTTTTGTTTTTCCGGAAGAGCCACCCTCCTTAAATATCTCCGAGCCCTCTTCTGTGTCCTCCCTTGCGTCGCTCGAGCAGCTCTCTTCTCTTTGTGAACCCTGGCCTTGTTGGAGAGCTTGGCTCAGAATTCCTCCACCTCGAGCGGATTAATCATTTTATTTATTAGGCTTACGGGCCAAATCCTGCTAAACCCGGGGCTTTGCCAGATAAACAGGCTGCTTTGCAAAGGCAGCCCGTTTGTGAAAACACAATTAGCAAACCCTGTAATCTGCACTAATTATCAGGCAGCACTCAGGAGGTTCATTTGCCTCGGCTCCCGCAGGGTTTCCCTGGCCCCACTGGAAGCCGCTCCTCGTGCTGGAGGAGGAGAGGGGCAAGAGCTCAGGTGAAACCCCCAGAATTGCCCAGACCATGGAGGAGGCAGAAGCTGGGAGCAGACGCCAACCTGGAGCCTCCTTCACAATTGATTATCTGCTCTTCGCTAAGGGGAAGCCAGCCAGCAGGGAGCGGGAGCCCAGGAGCTGCCGGCCACAGGACACCCCTGGCTCCTCTGAAAGGAAATCAGTGGAGGAGGTGGTTCGGGGGAACCCGCCCGTCCCGGAGTCTCTGGATCCACTGGACAAACCCAACCAGTCTTACATCGCCCTCATTTCCACAGCCATCCTCTCCTCCCCGGGAAAGAAGCTGCTGCTTTCAGATATTTACCAGTGGATCATGGATAACTACCCTTACTTCAAAAATAAGGTGAGTTCCCCCTCTCTTGGGCTGGTAGGCTTTCTAGGCCAGGATGAGGGCTGGAGCGGGTCCAGCAGTCCCCAGTGCATTCATACCCTGGGCTTCAAGCTTTCCAAACCTCTCTAGCTCCAGAGTCGCTCCTTTGGGGCTGTGTTTTGGCCCCTGGTACGTTCCCAAGGGGAGCAGAGCGATTCTATAGAACTCGGTTACGCTTTCTTTCGTAAAACCCACCAGCCCCGTCTGAGCCTATCGGCGTGGGGGCTTGCACAGCTGAATTGCAAAGCATTGCTTCTCTCTCTCTCTGATGTTTTCACTGGGATTTTGGGGGGATTTAATTGTCCAATACAAACTTCTCCCTCTTCGGTGAGGAATAGACACGAGATCGCCTGGCCTCTGAAATTAGACCAGCAGAGACGAAGGGCGGTGGGTCAGAACTAGGGAAAACCTCCTCTTTTTGAGGGCGAGTGGAAAGTTCTCAGCCGTTCGCCCTTTCGCGCCCCGAACTAGTTGAGTCCCCAGGGTGCTGTATCCTGTTCGTTGCTGTTGTGTCTCCTCTTCCTGATTTTCAAACTTGCTCTTTGTGATCTGCCGCTTGCGAGAGAGGGCAGGGTGAAGGTAACGCTCCCGCTCCTGCCTTCCGGCCACTCTGGGTATAACGGATGGAAAAGGTCAGGAAACATTGAAATGGAAAGTCTGCTCTAAACCTCCATTGCTGGGGGAATGCAAAGGCCCTTTTCCAGCCTGGTAGGAGAATGCAGCGGTTTGAGGGGCAGGTGCAGAGAGGGTCCATAGCTTTCGGGCCTGGAGTGGTGTTGGGTTGGGGTTTGTTTGTTTTCAGGTCAGACTCATCTTTGAAAACAATCGGACTGTGACTGTACTAGGAAAGCGTCCCCGTCCCTGGGTCGTCCGAGCGATTGAGCGCAAACAATGGGAATTGTGACACTGCCATCTGGAGTACATGGGGGGGTGCCCCTGTGCGGGGGAGAGGGGTCGTCAGTTCTGCTTAGGGCTTCGAGTAGGGTGCGGGGAACCAAGCTGTGGGGCGAACTCATGGCTTGCTGCGGGAGTCATTTAAGTAACCCGCAAAGGAGGCAGAAAAATATCCCGCATCTGCCTTTGTTTTTTCCATACGTTACAAACCCCTGCTTGCTCACATTGCAAAGTGAGGGCTGGTCGTCCCCGGAAGAATCTCCGATGGCAGCGGGGTGAGAGGGGACCTAGCAAAAGCAACACGAGCAGAGAGGCTGCAAGCTGCAGCAAGTGAGAGAGGGAAAAAAGAAAAGGAGTACTTGTGGCACCTTAGAGACTAACCAATTTATTTGAGCATGAGCTTTCGTGAGCTACAGCTCACTTCATCGGATGCATACCGTGGAAACTGCAGCAGACTTTATATATACACAGAGAATATGAAACAATACCTCCTCCCACCCCACTGTCCTGCTGGTAATAGCTTATCTAAAGTGATCATCAAGTTGGGCCATTTCCAGCACAAATCCAGGTTTTCTCACCCTCCACCCCCCCACACAAATTCACTCTCCTGCTGGTGTGTGGGGGGGTGGAGGGTGAGAAAACCTGGATTTGTGCTGTAAATGGCCCACCTGATGATCACTTTAGATAAGCTATTACCAGCAGGACAGTGGGGTGGGAGGAGGTATTGTTTCATATTCTCTGTGTATATATAAAGTCTGCTGCAGTTTCCACGGTATGCATCCGATGAAGTGAGCTGTAGCTCACGAAAGCTCATGCTCAAATAAATTGGTTAGTCTCTAAGGTGCCACAAGTACTCCTTTTCTTTTTGCAAATACAGACTAACACGGCTGTTACTCTGAAACCTGAGAGAGGGAAGCGGTTTGTCCCACCACTAAAACTTGGGTCATTCGACGCTGCTTTAATTCCACTGGCGAATGAACCGTTTGGAGCAGAGACCTCTCTGTTAAAAGAGTCACCCGGCAATCGCAAGTACCTCCAGCCACACCTTTGCTCCAGCAAACCTGGAGAAGAGCAGACTGGATATTTCTAAAGTTAGGGGGGAAAACACCAGGGGAGGGAAAAACTTCGTTTATCCATTAGAAAGATGGCAGGAGTGTCTAAGTCTCAAGTCCAGAGATGGTGGGCTTTATTTTTTTTAAGTCCCTGCTGGACCCCCTCTAACTCGGTTTATCCATCTGTAGAGCTTGGGGACGTGACAGGACGGTTGAGGGATCCACCGATGATCTGGGATCATGAAAACAGGTTTGCGGCTCGTGTAGCCGCTGCCTCGCCCCCTGGGCTTTTGCCATGGAGGTTTGATTGCCTGTGTCCCTACCCCGCTTGCCGTATCTCAATCCCCCCACCGCCCCCGCTCATTGGCTTTGCAGGAGAAGAGTTGGCGCAACAGTGTCAGGCATAACTTGTCCCTGAACGAATGCTTCATCAAGGCCGGGCGAAGCGACAATGGCAAAGGGCACTTCTGGGCCATCCACCCGGCCAACCTGGACGACTTCTCCAAGGGCGACTACCACCGGCGCCGAGCCCGGAGGCGCATCCGCAGGTGAGAGGTGGCTCGGGGTGGGGGAGTGGGGCCAGGCGCTCAAATCCTCCGCTTATCCCTCCGGTAACCCCCTCCCTAATGGACTCTTAGCCTCTAGCCTGATGACCAGCCGGCATTACTCCCTCTTCAGGGCTAAGACCATTATTCCTTCATGCTGACCTGAATCTGACCTTGCCAGACCCCAAATGCTACCCGCGTTCTCCTTTCACTGGAGCCTGGTCCCGCAGGTGACCTTGTCTCCACCCTTGCTTTAAAATCACCCTGCTGCTCTTGGAAGGAGAAAAACTGCCACGTCTCCTCTCAGCCAGCTGGGGAGACTCGGCCTGGTGGTGGTTTGTGGTGAGGCGTGAAGAGACCAAGTCAGGTCTCCGGGGAGGGCGTTTGCCCAGTGCACCAGGGCTCCTGGCCTCCCGTGTTTACCAAACATTCCTTGGTGCACGAGACCAAGGACCACTGCAGGCTCTCGGCCATTTAATGAAATGCAGCCTCATTCGTTTCTGGCTTCTGGAGCTCCAGCTCTTCTGTGGGCAGGAGATGGACACTGGGGAGCTAGGACTCCTGGGTTCAGCTGTGCAGCTTCTAGACCAGTCAGCGTGTGGGGCGCAGTTTCATCTGTACAACGGGCATAATGCTCACCTCCCTCCCCAGCCGCTGAGAGAGGGCTGATGTCGGGTAAGCGTGTTCGGAGAGGCGCTCAGGTGAAAGATACTAGGGAAGGGAAAATAAGGGTCCCATGGGAAGAGATGGGGGACTATGGAAAATCAGGGCATGTTGGAGAGAGACCCACTTCCAGTCAACCTGGGGAACTCCTTGCCAGAGGATGTTGTGAAGGCCAAGACTATAACGGGTTTCAAAAAAGAACTAGATAAGTTCATGGAGGATAGGTCCATCAGTGGCTATTAGCCAGGATGGGCAGGGACGGTGTCCCTAGCCTCTGTTTGCCAGGAGCTGGGAACGGGTGACAGGGGATGGATCACTTGATGATTCCCTGTTCTGTTCATTCCCTCTGGGGCACCTGGCACTGGCCACTGTCAGAGGACAGGACACTGGGCTAGATGGACCTTTGGTCTGACCCAGTATGGCCGCTCTTATGTTCCCTCTTGGAGGCCAATATGAACTCTTGTGCCAGTGGGGTGGAAGCTGCAGAAGGGGACGTAGCTGAGACAACTGACCCTCCCATGGAGTTGCTGAAGCTGCCCTGCCTTGGCGGGGGTCGTGGGCGACCCTCCCTCCCCTCCATCAGGGCCAACCCTCCTGGTGAGCTGGCTGCCGCGGGAGGCGCGATCTTCCCCTTCTGCAGCCAGCTCAGGTGAATCTGCCCCAGGCTGGGAGCAGGGGCCTTTGTCTGTCTGACTGTCCTCTCCTTGCCCGATGCAGGATGGCGGTGAACCTGAGCTATTGCCACCCGTACGCCTTCTACGGATTGAGCTGCTGCCCGGGACGTGTCTGCCTCTGCTGCCCTCCCTACGCGCACCCTGCTGGCCCCAGCCCTTCTGCGCATTGCCAGCCTGGATTCCCCCTCCTCCCTCTCTACCCGCCCGCCTCCCAGCGTCACCCCTACCTTCCCGCGGGCGCCCACAAAGGCCTGCAGGAGAAGCCGCTCAGCTGGCCTTTGCACAGACCCCACTTCCATCGCCCCCTGCAGGCTCATCCGTACCTGTAGCCTCCACTTCGCCAGCCTCCGGGGAGCCTTGGGCCACCAGGGATCGTCCCAGCAAGGAGATCTTTGGGTGCTTTTCCTTCTCTGCTTGGCCTGGGACGCGGCTTTGGAGCAGCCCCTGAGCAGCTCGGTGTGGTCTGCCTTTGGGTCCCTGGGGCCTGGCTATCTTCCCCACCTCCACCCTCTTCAAAGGGGGAAGTGACTCTTGCAACTCCAGCCCCCGAGTAGCCCCGCTCCATCTGGCTCCCTACGTACAGCCATGGAACCGTCCATGCTTATGGCCATACCTGCCCAGCGTCTTTAGCGTTTGAATGCTGACGGACTGCCCTTCCTCATTGCTTGGGGCTGCTCCTTTCTGTGTCTCCCCGTGGTTTTGATTTCAAAAGACAAGAGGCCTACGCAAGACTGAAGGGGCCCTAAAGCTCCATTGCACCCCACTGCTGTTAAACTATCAAGCAGGCAGGAACTCAGCCTGCCAGCCACCTACAGGACATCTGTCCACCTCTGTATTGCTCCAGGGGCATGCATGCAATCCTCTCCAGCCCTCCCCCTCCCTCCGTCCGCTAGGTCTTCTGCAATGCGCCCAGAAGCTCTGCCAATTCTGGTCTAGGAGCTCCTCAGACTTGACCACTCCTGCTCTGGGGGCCCAGGCCATCGGTAAAGGGATGCACAGAGCCTTTCGCATCTAGCTCCTGAGCTCAAGCGTGGCTCGGCTCAGCTGCTGATGGTTGGTGGGTGACTGTAAAGTGCAGTACTGGTGGGAGGAGATTGGCCCCAGCTGCTCGCTGGGCTGGGCATTAACGTGATGATAACCAGTTGTCTGCATCCCACACCACTCTTGTGGGCAGCCTCTGGAGACAGGCCAAGGACTGAATAGGTCATGGAGTCTCCATTATCCTGCTGGGCTAGGGTCAAACGCAGGGCCGTCACATACCAGGATTAGCACCATGTTGATGCCTAAGATAAAGACAATGTGACCTGCCTCCCTTCAGTGTGGTGCTCTGGGCACCACTAGGGATGTCTGGGTCACAGATAGATCTTGACGAGCCATCTGCAGCCGTGGCGAACGCACACGGGTGCGTCAGCTCAGGCAGCCAGAGCCGGAGGTCCCACCTTCAAGCCCTGCTGCTAATGACCCTCCCTGGGCCATGGCCTGATGTTCACAAGCAAAACCATTTTCCAGTTGGGCAACTGATCCTCTCAACATTGCCTTGTAGGCTAAGCCACTGAGCCCAGGGTGAGCCTGGCCCACACTCCCCTATTCAGGGCCAGGAAGCTGGGATGGAATTTGCACCCCCCAGCCGGTGCAAACCCACTCTGGCAGTGGAGCCAGAAGGTAGTGATAGAGAGGAGGAGGCGGGGTTCCAATACACAGAAGTGTATTCGTGCGACTGAGGGAACGTGGGATGGAAGCACAGCTACCCTTGATGTGCAAAGAACTTCAAGTAGGAAGGAAAAGTCCACTGCACAGCTACTACCTGGGGAATAACTGGCTAGGTGGCCGTGCTGCTGAACAGGTTACTGCGGATCACAACTTGAATGTGAGTCACCAATGCGATACTGGCCTTTTTCGCAGCTGTTGTCAACCTGGGATGGATTAATGGGAGTGTCATGGTGACATGGGCGGTAATTGTCCTGCTCTCCTCGGCACCGGTGAGGAGCACAGTGTCCAGTTCTGGGCACCACCCTGTAATAAAGATGTGAACAAAGTGGAGAGAGGCTGGAGGAGAGTGAGAAAAGTGAGGGAAGGTTAAAAAAATGGCCATGTTTAGTCTTGAGAAAAGATGATGGGGGTGAGGGGAGACCTAATACGTCTTCAAGTCTGTCCAGGGATGTTATAAAGAGGACTGTGATCAATTGTTCTCCATGCCCATGGACGACAAGAAGCAATGGGCTTAATCTGCAGCCAGGGAGAGTTAGGTTAGATATTAGGGGAAACTTTCGAACTCTCAGGGGAGTTAAGCTCTGGACCAGGTTGTAGAATCCCTGTCATTTGGGGTTTTTAAGAACAGGTTGGACAAACCTCTGTCAGGGATGGTCTAGGTTGACTTGGTCCTGCCTCGGTGCAGGGGTCTGGAGTTGATGACCTCTCAGATCCCTTTCCCCCTCCATTTCTATGATTCTTCCTGTGCCACTTACAACCAAGCTGGGCCCAGCACTCGCTAACAGGCTGCAGAGAACAATCACCAGTGGGCGAGCGGGGACCTAGCAGGCTCTTAATTCCCTTGAGACTTTGATGTGGCATTTTGGTTTGAACCAGGCAGTAATGTTCTACTTCTGCCTTGCGCTTTGTCTTGGTGGGTTTGGGTGACCCCTTCCCTGCGGACACCCAGCGACCCCCACCCTCCTCTCGTGTTAATGACTCCGACCCTGGCTGGCTTGTGAAGTCGATCGGGTGGGTTTCTTTGCGGGGTAAGGTCTTGTGCAGCACGAACTCTTTTCAGATGTAGCTGGAGTGAAATCGAGCGAACCCTCCGCCCCTCCCAGCGTGGAAATACACCGCCACCCTGCCTCGTATTAAAGCGCTGTCCAAGCATCAACGCTTCAGTGTGAAAGTCTGTTCCTGGGACAGTGCAATGAATCCTCTGGGAACGGCCACTTCCTTTTCTCTCCTGACTTCTAGAAGTGTGCACATGTAGGTTCATCCCACCCCTCCCAGAAGCCGCTTACACATATGGGGCTTAAAATCTCCTCCTTGCATGGGGGGCGGGGGTATTGCGGTGCTTTGATTGGAAATTCATTTGACTGATGGGATAAGCCTCCATTTTTATTTAAGAACGACCCTGCCCTGATTTCCCCCTGCTAATTGTTCCTGACGCCCTTAATGAAAATCGCAGATCCCAGGCCCTAAGTGGCATTAGCAGCCTTGCTAAGAAAGACGACTTTGCTGGTTTAAGCCCAGCGGCTAAGCCCCCCAAATCTTATAGCGGCCTCGCAAAATAGGAAGCTTATGACACAAACTAATCTTTTAACGTGGTCCGTGCCCTTTGGATTGAGGCTGCTGGGGAAACACATTTCAACCCCTGGGTCAAATGTACATGTAGGTGCAGGCCCGAGGGCTGCAAGGGGGCTGGTGCACTGAAATTCTCTTTCAAAATGTCCTGCCACTAAGGCTTTCGGCTGCTAGTTACCTGCTCCTTTCCTGAGCCGATTTTCCACTGCACCTCCCGCAAGCCCTCATCTTCTTTTCCCCGGAGGGGAAGCCACTGTCTTGGTCCTCTCCCAAAATCCTGTGCCCCTCCTGTGAACAAACAAGGGCCCTTTCCTAGCTCAAGTCCCTCCCCTGCTGCCTTGGGGGGCCCTGGCTTGAGTGTTGAACCTCTAGCAGAGTAAATGTGGCCCGTGCCAGGGTGAGTGGGGGTAGGGTTGTAATGCGTGGGCCCAGGCGAACCAGGCGCCGCTATGCTAAAGCAGCAAGGAGATGTGATTGTTTTCTATTTAGCTAGCAGCTAATGCCTGGATCCCACCCAGCGAGGGTCCTGATGCCGAGCTCGGGTGCACGGGCTCCGCAGCGAGCGGCTGGACGTCCCGAGAATGTTGGGCTCGTCCCGATATTTGAGGCTTTGTCTTCTAGACACAACTACACCTGCTTCCCTTCCCCCGGCAAAGAAAAGTAGCCCGATTTCTCACGCGGGCCCCCCTCTCTCTGCAGGCTTGGGGATAGTTTTGTTCTCGACCCTTTAAGGCCGCAGGGGGCCTTGCACACGGTGGTCACCCTGCCCTTCCCAGCTGGCTCCATGGGAGGAGGGTCCTGACTTCACGACATGGGGGGGGGGGGCGGTCACGGCAGAGGCTGAGACTCGCCGCTTTTACCTCCTTACTTGGGTGGGGGCCTTTGGGAAATGAGTTTGGGTCTCAAACCAGTCCCCCCCCCCCATCGCCGCTTTGTGCACCAGCCTCTGCCCTGGCGTATTTGGAATTGCACCCGCTGCCCACCCTGGGGAGGGTCCCGGGTGGAGCTGTCCCAGCTTCCCCCAGGTGGTGAGACCTGTAATCAAAGCCCCTCTCCCTGCTACCACAATAGCCCTGGTTGACCCTGACGGCCAGCTGTGCTTCTAACCATGTTGCCAACGGGCAAGCTCTTGAAGGACCAGCCTGGTCTGTGGGCGTGGGATCCAGTCAGAACAAGGCTATGCCCACTTGGTAATCAAGGCACCTGGCAGGGCCAAACCACGGTTCAGGTGCAACGTTCGAACGGGGCTGGGCGCCCCACTCTGTGTCCGGGGGGCAGCTGGGGCCTGTCTCACCCCTGCGGGATGAGCACATGATCACATAACTGTGAGGTTGCAGCATCACCCCCGCTGCCTTTGGCTACTGAGGGAGGTGGGGATGCTTACAGGTGTCTGTCTGTCTCCCTCCAACACCCAGCGTGGGCTGGACTTCCTGGGGCCTGGCAGTACGAGGAAGCACCTTCCCATCCAAAACTCCCAACCTCCCAGGAGGCGGGTCAGTAGCATTGTCCCAGGGTACTGGTGGGGAAACTGAGGCAGCGAGCAGGGCAGTGGCTTGTCTAAGGTCAGGGGCAGACCCCAGGCAGTGCTGCCATTGCCCTGGGGAGCTGTTTTGCTAGGTAAAAAGCCAGCTTCTGACTCCCCTAACCTAGCCCTGTAGTTGCACGACCTTCATCTTCTGCCCCGCTGAGCCCCACAAGAGGGAGGCCGCCTGACCGGGGCATAGGGCCACCTGCTGGCTGCAGGAGAGCTGAGTTCTAATCCCACCGCTGGATCCTTGAGCAATCTGCTCCCCATCCCGCCCCCGTTAGGCTGAAACCCTTGGCCAGGGACTCTCTCGTTCAGTGTCCGTGCAGCGCCCTGCTCTTGGGTGGGGCCTCTGGGCGTCACTGCCCCACTGCTAATCCCAGCAGCCCTGGAGTTCTAGAGACTCTAATCTCTGTGTTAGTGAGGCTGACGATGCAGCACCCAGGGGCTCCCCGGGGCTGGGCTGTGTCTCCCCACGCTGCGCCCGCCAATCTGTAATGCCTCTCTCCTCCCCTTGCCCCTGTGCGGGCGGGCAGAGTAGTCCCCATGGGACAGGACCGAGGCACACAGCGCCTATGGCCTAGCTTCTCCATGGGGTCCAATGGGAGTTAGGTGCCTAGATGCCTTTGAGGATGTGGGTCTAGGCGACCTGCCCAGGGTCACTCAGCAAAGAGACCTAAACCCAGAGGTCCCAAGGCCTGGGCTGGCACCAAACCATCTGTCTTTCCTCTCCCGTCTCGCCCGTTTGCGCCCTGCAGCGCGTTGTTGGAGCCTCCATGGCTGAGTCTTCCCTCTGGCATGTCTACCCCAGGACCCAATACACCCAGCGCTTAATTTGTAATGAAAGAGGGGCCGGGACTCAAGCAATTATTTTACTTTCATAACTGACGCAGCAAGCCCAGAAGTGCCAGGGCTCTGAACAGCCAAGCCCAGAGGTGCCGGGGGGGGCTAGGAACGGCCGAGCCCAGAGGTGCCGGGGCCAGAGATGCCGGGGGGGCTCTGAATGGCTGAGCCCAGAGGTATCGGGGGGGGGCTAGGAACGGCCGGGGCCAGAGATGCCGGGGGGCTCTGAAGGGCTGAGCCCAGAGGTATCGGGGGGGCTCTGAATGGCCAAGGCCTGAGGTGCCGGGGGGGGGGGCTTGGAACGGCCAAGCCCAGAGGTGCCGGGGGCTTAAGCATTGGCTATGCTGCCTGTGCAAGGCCAGGCTAGTGCGGGGCCAGCTGGGCTCTGGTGCACGTCCCACCCGGGGCGATTGCTTTGCACCAGCATCCGCCATTGGCCGCCTCGGGGGGGGGGGGTCATGCTGGCCAAGGGGGTTGTCACGCAGGAAGTGTTACCCAATCCCATGCGTTTCACAGGGCCTGCATTCCTGCTTACTCGCGTCCACAGTTATGTAAGCATGACACAGCTGTGTGCCCCCCCCCGCCCCCAGCTCCCCCAGGCCCTGGCCTGGCCTCTCCCACCCGCCCAGGGTTCCCTGTTCTCAGGCAGGCCCCACCTTCGGGCTGGGGGGCGAGACCAAGTGGCCAGATCACTGCACATGCCATAGCTCCAGGGCCAGCAAAATGCGACCAACCTGGGGGGGGGGGGGGGGCAGCTGTGGCCCTTGGCCGCCCAGGCAAACCTGCTTGTATAGGGACGTGCTTGGGGGGGGGCTTCATGCCTATGTAGATGCTTTACTTTTTTTGGGCAGGGGGGGCCTCATCCCAACACCCCCAAACTGCAGGCCGCCCAGGTTATCCAGCAGCGGCCGGGCTGAGCTGGCCCCTGCGGGTGCAGGGCTTGGTCCAATCCCCTGCCCCCCGTGTTGCTCTGAAATAGCCTGGCTGGGGGCGGGGGGGGGGAAGGCTGCGCTGTGCCAGGCGCGGGCCCAGGTGCTGCTGGGCAAGGTGTGAACGCCCCCAGCAGCAGCAGGGAGGCTGCAGGGGCGCTGGGGGCGAGGGCTGGGTTCCCTGCCAGCAATGGGCTCGGCTGCGTGGAGTTCCCCGGCTGGACGATGGCGTGAGCGGCCCCCCCCCAGCCCAGGGGGGATCAGCTGCAGATTTTTAACGCGTGGGGCCCTCAGCCAGCCAGCCCGGGCCGGGCAGAGCCCAGGTTAATCAGCACAGCCCTGCCTGGCGCATACGCCCTGCCTCCCCGCAGACCTCCCCGCTGCCACGCGGGGGCTGGCGAGACTGCGCTTCGGGGGCCGTCAGCTGACCCCGGCAGTGAGGGGGAGGGGAGCGTGAGCGGCCTGACCCTTGCCAGGGGCAGCACACAACTGGGGGGGGAAGGGGGAAGGGGGGGGGATGGTGCTGGAGCTTCAGGGCGAATCCATCCGTGGGGGTAACGTGACGCGGGGCAGTGCTCCGAGGCAGGGAGCGGCCTGGCGCGGCTGAGAACCCGGTGCTTGCGTTGGCTGACACATAGCGGGCGGGTGGGAAAGGGGTGGGCAGGGGGCAGGGATGGGCGGCAGGGCTCCTGGCTGCGGGGGCAGTGGGGAGAAGAGGAACAACTGTCAGGCCTCAGGTTCTCGGCCCGGCTGTGGGACTAGTTTCATTTTTGCTCATGGACGTGGCCCTGCCCCCATCCTGTGCATCAGGCCAAGGCTGCCCCGGCCTGTTGAGCCTTTATGGCCCGTGGGCCTTCCGTAAAAAAGCCACGCCTGACCGCCTGGGCCGTGTGGCTCCAGCCATCCTTGCTGTTTTAATGGCTGCCTTAATGCACAGCCCCCCCACCCCCTTGTGAAGGGCCGGCAGCGGGGCTGCTGACTCCCGGCCCTGGCCCACAGCTGAGCCCCCGGGGGGCTCGTTAAGCCCGTGCCATATGCTGCCGCGTTCCCGCTGGGCGACAGGTTGGCCTGCGCTCAGCATCGGCTCTGGCCCAGCTCCTTAACACGCTGCGCAAAGGGGGGGGGGGGGGGGCATTAGCAGCCGTTCAGGCAGTAAGCTGAGCAAAACGAGGATTACACGCGTGCTTTGTGTTTCTATCCCGGCGTCGGCAGCATCACCTCGCACTTCTTGCCAGCGCCGGCAAGCGGCTTAGAGCGCTGAGCGCCGGGAAAGCTCCTTTAAGACA